TTTCTTACGTTGTCCTTTTCCTCTTTGTGCAATTTGCTTTCCCTTTTGTCCCTAATTGCTTTTTCCCTACCCTCCCAAATTTTCTTGGCACGCATCGCATACTTCTGTTTTTGAACATGTTTTTGTTTTCTCGCTACTTCCATATATTGTTTTCTTTTATCTTCGGGTAAAGTGGAGACCCACTTGCTTGTTTGGTTTTTGGAATACATGATAATGCTCTCCAAACAGTTTGTTTTTGCTTTGGGTTTGCATTTCATTGTTCGGTCAAGCATTCCAAAGTCCCTTTCTACAGATACATTTGTTTTTGGCACGCTTTCTACTTCCCCGTCTTTGTCTTTGTACTTATCCTGTAGATGATCATGTACTAGTCTATTCGTTACGGTTACAAACCCAATGAAAAGCATTTCAAGTACTTGTTGGGTCAAATGGTCATCCCCTTCATGGTTAACTAACTTATCTAGCATTACATCGTTAGGAATATCTACATCATCAAATATTTTACACTTGCCCTTCATGAATTCTGAGGAATCTTCCGCAAATTCCTGAAACTTACTCATCATCGTTTTGTATCTATCATTCATCGTGTTAATGTTTTCTTTTGTTTCAAGAATTTGCCAAAGGGGTTTGGTAACGAACCGGTCAATGAGACCAAGAGCCCTACACGCCGCCAGATAATGTGGTACATGTAGGTCGGCGTGGACAGCTCTCATTAGTAAATTATCATCTTTGTAATCATTAAAAAAATCCTTTAAATCGCTTGCAAGGTAGAACACGCCAGCCCCGTTTTTAAATAAAATATTAAACCTATTTCCCTTGAATGGAGCGAGTGGCACCCAATCTCTTCCTCTCTCCCTTAAAAATGCCCGAAATTGAACAGGTTTTCCTGACTTTTCACAACCCCTGTCCTGTATGGCCTTGCATACTGTTCTGACTAGTCTCTCTGTACCCCCTTCATTCCCCTTTGATGAGACCCCAACCTTTTTGGCACCAACATTAGTTTCACCAAATATCATTTTCTCCCATACATTCAATGTTTGAGACGATTGATCTGCTAATCCCACCATATAATGTAAGCCGCAAAAGAAGTTGTTCATACTAACTGCCCTTTCCTTCTGAATTTCACTGTACCCATCCCACCCATTGTCAACCTTAGGCAGCACCTCCCTTTTATACTGTTGTAAGAGTTCATTGAATTTTTTTTGAGCAATATGCCTATCACTGATAGTGTTTTTCATCTTTTGAAGAATTTTGTTCATCTTCTGGGGCCCTTCATCGTCTAAAACATTACACATATCCTCTAGTACTTCCTTCATTAAACCTAAAGTTTCTTCGGCGGTACCCCCCACACTTTCTCTTACCCCCATGACATAGCAGTCACCATCTTGTGTGTGAATATCAAAAGCCCCATAATGATGACCCCCCTTTGTTGTGCCATCCCCCCCTATTGTCAGATTTGACTGGTCTTCATTCATCAGCGTATCTAATACTTGAATTTGACTAAGAACTCTGGCTTCTTGAAACATATCTGCTGCAAAGTCCTTTTTTGGTAATTTCCCCACCTCTGCTTTTGTCAAACCCTCGATTATTGACCTTACCACCCCTTCACAGTTCCTTGAACTGACTCCAAATTTGCACTCTAACTCTTGGTATACCTGTCTAACCTCATCTGTGTACTTGCCTTTTTCGATTGACTGAATGACAATCTCCGATAGCGGACTCGCTAATTTGCCTAACTTAACTGTCATTTTCTTCAATTTTCGTTTGAGAGATTTATTTTCTTGGATAGTTTTCGAAAGCAAGTCGTTTCTTTTCTTTAGATAAATCAAGCGTACTTGACTTTTCTTCCACATTACTTTCATCGCCCCTTTTTGTTGTTTTAACTTTCTGAACTGCTTTGTTTGTTCTTCAAGAAGCGAAATTTTCATTTTTCTTGAGAGCAACTCTGTTTGCATTTTTTTTACTGCCTTTGTTTGATTATCAAGTGCCCTTTTCCTACCTTCATCTTTTATCTTAAATCGTCGCCTTTGTACTTCCGATTTTGCTAAACTTAATTTGTAGTCGTTAAGTTTCTTTTCTACGCCGGTCAACCTTACTCTCATTTTCCTTAACCTCGTTTTGAGTATTATACATTCCTTTCGAAATCTACATTTACAATTGGATTTTTCTTGACTTCTACTAACCCTCTCGCGAACTGGCCTCGAACCCCCTTTCCCGCGCTTTCCCTTCCCACCACTTTGCCTCTTCTTCCCACCATCCGGCTTTCTTCTCCCCCCAACCCCACTTGCCTGATTACCACTTACGGGCAAAATTACAAACACCTCGTTCAAGAATTTGTCTAAGTCTCTTTCATTCAATCCAGAGCTCCTTTGTTCAGTTACCTTTCGTATTTTGTTGTGCAGCCTATGTGTACTTACACTACCAACACTATCATCAACCTCAAACAGCGCACGCAACAACTGTTTGAAACTTTCGGTGGAAAGATCATTTTTCCTACCCCACGCATAGAGTTCTAAAACCACACCATTCGTCATCCACGCCCATCCCATCCTCTCACGGTCATACTCGTTACACAACGCAGCTTGAACATCACCCTCCAATACCCCAATCTTTGAACAGTTTGGTCCCAACCCCGACACTAGTTTATGCAATTCTTGTACAACTTCATCCCCCCTCCCTTTCTTCAAGCTGTACGTTGTCTTCCTCCTAAGATTACCGAAGTGTATAGAAATGACATTGATATGGTTCTTGGAAACTGTTTTAGAATATGCCAAGAGGCACTCCCTTTGTGTGCCGTTGCACTCAGTACTAGATTCTTGCCAGACGTCGAAATGTGAGAAAAAAATAGAAAGGTCCTGAAATGTCATGTATTCTTTCTTTATTGGAGGAGACTGAAAACAATTCAAAAAGTTACTTACGGCTTCAGGGTTCATGATGCTGGCTGGGGCTGGCTGTCAGATGAAAAGCTAGTTGAATCCAGGTAAAAACAGAGTAAAAACGTCAATTGCAAACCAATTCAGAGCTGGAGTCGAGTAGAGTCGTAAATCGAGTAGATTTCGATAATGCTCGTAATTACGTATGCAGCGCATACGCGCTGCACTAGATGGCCCTTTAAATTACCCGCCTTTTAAATTAATTACCCGCCTTCAATAATGTCACGTGAACAAGGGGCTCGTTCCTAACGACGCCCGTTGCAAATTGATGAATGTAAATTAACCATTAGCGACATATACATTTCAGGCAGTGGGGACAAGTACAATGCGAATTGCCCGCCTTCAACAATGTCACGTGAACAAGGGGCTCGTTCCCAGCGACGCCCGTTGCAAATTGATGAATGCATATTAACCATTAGCGACATATACATTTCAGGCAATGGGGATAATGCGAAGATGCACTCTCTTAGTGCACACTAAATACATCACGCCAGCACAGACAGATCCGAATACACACACAAGTAGTACACACACGGTACGGGCAAGCGCATCACAGACAGATTGACCAATCAGATTGCAGGGATTCTTCTACCCATCTTATAATAGGCCTACACATATTCAACGCTGCGTACGCGTCATAGTGTGTACAAAGGCTTGCGACACGGGTAGCACGCACAAAATTTGCTAAGCGCCGCTGAACGTTGCGTGATCTAAATGCATATGCATCAGCGGATTTTAAGCGCTGTCACCATGGATTTGGGCTGAGCAGAGTCACGCCTCCCTAATTAGCTGATCCGAAAAATGTGGAGAAGGGTATTTTCAAACTGTTGTCAGTTGTGATCCCTGGGGGCTAGCGAAAAAAAAAGCACATACATAATTCCTTAGGACTGGGACTACTTATCGATCGGGGCGTCATATCTCAAAAGTGACAAACCTCGGAGTTAGCCAGGACACAATGTTTAAATCGCTGTTTTGACCAAGATATTTTTAGAATTTCGAGGCAACGCCCTGTGGAAATATTGGAATTCACCTGCTCTTTCATATGACACCTCATTTATCGAGTATCACCTTCAGGATCACAACAGATAAAGGTTTGAAGTTCGAATTGAAAAAAAAAACTTGACTTTTTTTGCATGATCGCGTAATGCACGTAGACCGCATAGGGATGCGTGCAATCTCTATGGGAAGAATTTTAGCACACAACATCGGGTGCGCGATCAGACACCCTAATTCTAAATGGAATTAGATTAGAATATGACTTTAATATCAGGACATCTATTCTAGACAATTTAGACAACAACAAATAAAGGAGGTGAGTTGACTCAGTCGGTAAAGCGTCTGCCTGTCGAACCAAAGATCCCGGGTTCGACTCCCACCCAGGCGGATGACTGAAGTCTGCGTTGTGTGCTAACGTACCCCTTCCCTTGTTCATAGACGCAGGTTATGTCAAGTGGAAAACACTCCGTCCCTCGGATAGGACGTTAAACGGAGGCCCCGTGTACAGGAGAGTCACCACCCTTGCACGTTAAGAACCCATTGCACTATTCGTATAAGAGTAGGGGGAAACCCCGGTGTAATGGTCCACCTGCACACCCCAATCAGGCCGAGTACGTATACGGCATCTGCAAGAATCTTCAGTATTGAAGGAGGCAGATTATCTTGAAGAAGAAGAAGGAACACACATCACAATATTATGTAATTTCATCTCGTTTTGAGCCTCTGAATTCTTTGCACAAGTAAAAACGAATTTAGATAATTTGTGTTATCTTTTGTTGAAAGTGACCACAGTTCACAGGCGCACATACATGTAAGGGACTTTTAGATTTGCATGGACTGATACGTGTGACGTCCATTCAAGGCAGTGCATTAAAAGGACGTCGATCGTAGCAATCCCCTTTGTCTTCGTGTGAATCAAAAGTCCCTATTCACGAAGATGCGGCATCACAGTTTTACAGCGGAAGTCATCCGCATTTATTCCGAGTCGGATCCCTATTGCCACAGTACACAAACTATATACGGAATATGTACACAGTCATTAAACGCAGTCTAGTAAAATAAAAAAAACTTTACCTTTCAATCCCAAATCGGCGAATTTTTCTGCTGAAATTCGCTCTGCTATCGTTCCTCGGTCATCTATACTCGAAATCTTCGCTTTTATTCTATCCATGATTACACCGGTTTACAGCAATAACCTGATAACTCCGTGCCAATTCGTCAAATGACTAAGTAATTCAGTCTTCCGCAACTCTACATATAAAATCTCGCGGCAAGTTCACTCCTGTTTACTGGTAATGGTATGTCATTCTAAAAATAGACGCCAAAGATAGCCTTTATTTAAGACCACCTCAGAATTACCTCTCAGGGGCTAAGAGTTTTTTTTTTTTATTTCTTTCAGTTGCGATTAGCCCAGTTATCATGTGAAAACAACTTAAAGGAGTTTAAATTATGTAAACTTTTACAAGATAATTATTAGAATATGTTTGATATTTAGAACCCTGTTCAAATGTCGTTACACTTAAGTCTATTTCAGATTGAAAACTAGACTATTATGATTCCTGTTTCGGCCTAAAAATAAAGAGTTGTTATCATCAGAGTCTATCATGCATAGTACATACATAGGCCTATACATTGGCGTATTGAGGCCGGGGGGGGGGGGTGTTTTGGGTGTTCAAACACCCCCCCCCCCCCCCCGCCCCTTGGCAAACAGGGGGGGGGTGTTTTAGGTGTTTCAGAATTTTAAAGACACTCTTTACCTGTGTTTCATCTATCCCCCCATCAGTAAGATAGAAAGAAGAACGGTGTAAAGTGGTAGTTCTGAAATAATTGGAAGAAAAAAACAATTTTGTCTTATGCTCTTTTGCTAAATTATTGCTGGAGGAGGCGCAGCAGGCGCTCGATGTTGCATGACTAATTTGTCATGATCATTGAAATTGTCAATTTGTGATTGAAATGTTCTAATAATGTCGAGGATACAATATGATTCACTGTTTTAATATGGGGAGTGCGAGGGCCGTATAAGGTCAATACAGAGAGGGAGGAGAGAGGAGACAGAAATACAGAAAGTCAGTGAAAGAGAGGTTGAGAGATATAGACAGGCACATAACAGAGGGAGATATGTTATAGTAGAGTGAGAGTGAGTGAGAGAGAGAGAGAGAGAGGGCGGATTTAAAAATTGGAAGACATTAATATAGACAATTAAACAAGAGAAACAGAGAGAGTCGGAAAGACAGAGAGAAAGAGAAGAGAGGAGGGGTACGGTGGGCACACACTATAATGAGCGTCGTTGCACCTCACCGATTTGGTTTTTTCTTCTTTTTCTAATCAGGGTCAGGGTTCATTGTAGGTTTTTTTTTTTTTTTAAGGTAATCCTGTTTCCAACACCAGATTCCTTTCTGACTTCGGGGTAGTATTAATGACTATATATACAGCCCACGCATGGGTGTCGATCCCGGGGGGGGGGGGGGGGATGGGGGGATATATCCCCCCCCCCCCCCAATATTTCAGGTGGGGGGATGGCCTGTACAATCACCCCCCCCCCCCCCCCCAATAATTCACCATAAAAAAAAAATTAAAAATGAAGAGAAAAATTAATGATGAGAGTCCGATGAGAGTAGTTAATGGTTAGTTAATAGTTATTATTCGCAAGATGACCATCAATATACACATTTTGCTATCTCATTTTCATAATACATACATATATATACGAAGTTAATAAGACAAACGTATATGAGACAAGAATAAATTGAATTCTCGCTCATACGGCTTCATCAGGAATTGATGAATTTATTCAATCAACAGCATCATAGAAATGCAGTGCGTCAAAAGCAACGAGCTAAATATTAAGCGCGAAGCACAAAAGTAGCAATCTGCAATGCACATCAGACAATCCTGGACAGTGTAAACATAGATGAAGTCTGTGACGATTTCGTGATGAGATCGGAGACAAGGAGAAAGATTTTCGGACATTAGTATGACTTATAAAATAGTTCTCTAGTAATGTTGTTTCCGTTCACCCTTTTTAAAATTCACGTTATTGTATCTTTATTTTTATTTTTTTCACTCATTTTATTTGCTGATATTTCCTAAAACATTTTTCATTTTTGGAGAAAGATAATTATGTCACAACTTATTTGTGACACAACTTATTTTCAGTGGGGAAACTGAATTCAGACAAGGATTAATATAGAGAACAGTACAACGAATCGTCTTCTTTCTCTAATAATTTAGCGAACAGGGCAAAGCTGTTAGGGGGGCTACTGAATTCAAACGTGGATTAAGAGTAATAATCAAATGAAATGTGAAAGCTTCCGCGCTACGCGCGGAATGGGCGAAAATGAATACAGACAAGGATTAAGAGTAATAATTTATTGAAACATAAAAGCTTCCGCGCTTCACGCGGTAGGGGGAAACTGAATTCATGAAGGACACGATACAACAAATCGTCTTCTTTCTCTAATAATGTAATAAACTGGGAAAGCTTCCGCGCTTCGCGCAGGAATGGGCAAAAATGAATTCAGACAAGGATTAAGAGTCGAGAATGGTACATCGAATCGTCTTCTTTCTTTAATAATCTAATGAAACGTCAGAGCTTCCGCGCTACGCGCAGAGGAAGGGGGACTTCATTCAAACAAGGATTAAGAGTCGAGAATGGTACATAGAGCCGTCTTCTTTCTTTAATAATCTTATGAAACGTCAGAGCTTCCGCGCTACGCTACGCGCGGAGGAAGAGGAACTTGATTCAAACAAGGATTAAGAGTCGAGAATGGTACATTAAATCGTCTTCTTTCTTTTATAATCTAATGAAACGTCAGAGCTACTGCGCTACGCGCGGAGGAAGGGGAATTTGATTCAAACAAGGATTAGGAGTCGAGAACGGTCCAACGAATCGGCTTCTTTCTCTAATAATTTAGTGAAACGTCAAAGCTTCCGCGCTTTGCGCGGAGGGGGGGGGGGGGGACTCCCCCTCCCTGCACCCAACCCCCTAGGAACCGCGCTTCACGTGCTCACTACCGCTCCCCTAAAATGAAATCCTGGCTACGCGCTTGGAAGGGGTGCAACTTGCCACACGCTTCTACCACTTTGGTTGCTTTGATCCATTGCCGAAAATATTTTGGCACCTATACAAATCGACACCCTTGAGCCCACGAGACCGACCAAACATGCACATGTGAAATCTGTCTGTGTATGAGTTGTAGCCTTCTATACTTATTATGTATGACATGCATGGGGCGGCGATCCGTGGGGGTGGGGGACACGCCCCCCCCCCCCCCCGGGAAAATGTGTAAAAGTGAAGAAGAAACAAATGTTTATAGCAAATACTGAATAAAGACTGCAACACACTTTTAGGCTCTGGAGGGCCCCTTTTATATAAATATTATGTTTACTGTTGCTAAGTCCTACATGCATTTTATCGTGAGTTATTGTTCCAAATACATGTTTGTGTGTGTATCAGCGCTAGCTCTGATCAGTATTCAGCTGTAAAAGCTACATTCAGTCCTCCTCCCCCTTCCCGCGCGAAGAGCGAATCTTTGACGTTTCATTAAATGAGAAAGAAGACGATTCGTTGTACCGTTCACGACTCTTAATCCTTGCATGCATTAAAACAAATCTATGTCTGCTCCTTTTTCTTCCTACGTCCTCTAACTTTTTTGTCTTCTCTCTCTCTCTCTCTCTTTTTTTTTTTGGGGGGGGCGACCCCCCTGGCTACGCGCCTGCTAAGACCTTATAGCCTTTCATTCCCGAGGCCGTGCGCCTTGTGGTGAAAACGAAACTTGGTTGTTCACATATTTATCAATCTTTTCTATAAAAAAAACACAAAGTAAAAGAATGTAAAGCTCTCACGAAGTGAAACAGTTTTTTTTTATAGATTTTCAAGATGTACTATAGGGTTCGTACTGTCTAATTCCATTTTAATCAACAGTAGATATCACCACGAGGTGGTTTCAAATCAAGATTTTAAATAGAATATTATATATATATATATATATATATAATATATGAAGGATAGGCCTACTTCGTTAAGATTAGATATAGTGGCTGATAAGAAGACAGTGTACTTTTTGTAATAGCTATCATACATGTTTCTGCTTTTGTAACTATTTTAATGATGGTCGAAATTCGAGTCCTGGCTATTTCGTAATACGGGGGAAAGTATACCGTGACTTACAAATCAAAATAAATTGTTTGTATTTTGCGGTTGCAATAATAATGCACTCAACTGTGTTCTGATGGTTGTAAGACAAGAAATATTTTCAGTAAAATTACGAAATCAACTACCTTCATTAGTTTGATACATTTTTATCAGAGTGTAAAACGTTATTATGAAATGGAAGGATATCAGTATAAATTGAATGGTTTCACTTTAGAGTGTTGGAAATGCGCCAACACGAACACCCGACCCCCCCCCCCCCCCCCCACTCAGTGTTATTTAGGGTACACATATATGCTTGTTCCCTCTTTTTAAAAGCACCCCCTATCTGAGGACTGCCAACATTTCCAAACCCCCCTTTCGCGGGGTTTTCCTGCCTTGGAGAGCCCCCTAAATCCGGAAAAAATGCTCAATGTACCCCCTAAATTCGGAAAAATGCTCAATGTACCCCCTAAATTCGGAAAAATGCTCAATGTACCCCCTAAATTCGGAAAAATGCTCAATGTACCCCGGCCTAGAAATACGGAATAATTTCCCAGGAGTCCAAAGAGATGAGAGAAAGAAAAAAAAATCACCCCCTTTTTAAAGAAATCTCCGGGTGAAAAGTCAAATACACCCCTTTTCTTACAATCCTCGGGCCGGACTTTGTCGCACGAAAAGTACCCCTTTACCGGACATTTTGGTAACACGCATGCCGGGGGCGGGCGGGCACGAACATGATCATGTATTTTAAGTTTGATCTAAAATACTATTTTTTCATAAGTATTTGTTTTTATCTGCCACAAAGTTTAAGGTCGTGATGATTATTATTATGTATGGAAATTCATTCTTTAATTAATTTTATATAATGTAAGGATATGCCTATGATGGAATTTGTTTTGAAAATAAAGAACCCCGTGGCAGGGGGGGGGGATAAGAAATGAAATAATAAAAAAATAAAAAATCTCAGATAATCAGATAACTGAATAAATAAATGAATAGATAATACACACATGTCCGTAACATGTAAGTAAATGAATAAATGGACAATATTATATTTATATAGGTCTAGGCCCTTTTTTAAATAGGAAACTGAATGAAAGCTTGAAAAGTCTCCCATTCCAAATTATTTGCAGATTTGCCGACGATCGAGTTACAGAATTGATGACATAAAATTCCCCATTTTCCTTTGGAATCCTCCCCTCCCCTCGAGGAGCTAGCTTGGTCCAGTGAGGTGCTTTAACCGAGAGCTCTACATGTTTTGCATGCTAGCTGTGCAAGAATAGCAACATGCAGCAAGCTGGGAAACCCGTCACCCCACAGAATTGTATAAATAGGGCTGTGAAATCGAATGTAATCTAAGAGCGCTTGCGAAAGCACTTCGTTGACCTTACTCTTCCAACCAACAGAGAACTGGTGGAGATTGTCAACAATTGCCACTGTTTTGGATCAAGTATATTTCCAAAATCTCATGCCATGATTTGACATTGTTGCAGCATTAACGAGGATATTTTTGTGATATTCTACGAAGCCAGAGCTTGTGGAGTGTTTGAGAGTTCATCGCTGAGAAAATGGCGACTCTTCTCTACAACGACTCGAAAGCGCCTATGCGCAATGTCAGACGTGTGCAGTTCGGTGTTCTCAGTCCTGATGAAATGGTAATGTGATGTGAACGTGAATGAATGAATGATTCCACGTAGGGCTACACAAATGTACCGGCTTAATTCACAGTAACGTTTTATTATAGGGGAATGATTCGGCCAGATATATTCTTAAACTTGAACCCAAACGATACATCATATGCGAATGTTTAAACACCCTCACAAAAGAGTGAAAATAACCAAGAAATCGAGCAGATGTTGTTGTTCATTGACTTGAGTGTGTCACTGTGTGTGATTGTTAATCAAAAATTAGTCAAGACTACTAACAATTTATCTGGCATCCAAGATGCCGTGTCGAGATAAGTGGACAAAGTGTGCTTGTGTGATGATGTGCTAAATAGACCCTAAGAAAACATTTAGACATGTAAAACTAGAACTGGTGAATGTTTGAAGTGAAAACGTGAAACTAAAAAAGTTTCGATCAAAGAATTTAGAGAAGAACATGAAGAAAGTGTTAAAAAATGATTACATTTGCAATGAGACTTTGTCCTATTTTAGTTATTATTTCAACTCTCAGAATTGGGATTTGCGATTATTGATTGATTGTCGTGTGCCTGAATAAATTAAAGATGGCCCAGAGTGTTTCAAAATTAAAAAAACATGGAGAATGAGAAAGATTCATTGTAATTCGTTAGTCTAGTGAAATTTTAATGCTCGACATGTGATCAAAAGGCGTTTTTGCTTGTATTATTTATATAAACTATTTCCAGAAAACATTTAGATCTAGATCTAGATCTAGTATGACCTTAATAAAATATAGTAATTTTGATGTTTCAAAACCTCATATCGTAACACAAAACTGCAGTGCTAATAAATACAGTATAACATCTTGATACTTTCTAATGTAATGGGTTTTATTACCACAACCTAACAATTATCTTTGCAAGTCCAAGCTATTTCATTCCATACATCAACCGCTGCGAACCGCATCTAAGAGTTGAATAGATGTGATGACTTTAATCATTTCCAAAGTCCTACCAGAGCTCTGATGAGAGTCATGAGACCATTTAATCAAGTAATTTGTTAATTTTTATGTAAATGTCTGTTCCTAAGCTAATACAGGGAAAAAATACTTTAAAACTTTCGAGGGCTACCTTTCAAACTTGCTTGCATTAAAATAACACTCTTGAATATGTTTTGCATTGAACTGTATGCAAATTTTGGGGGCTCTTTTATGACTTTCGGGGGCTCTTTTTAGCATTTCAGGGGCTAATTCGCCCCAAGCCCCCGTGTATTTTTTTTACTGAGCTAATACTATGATATTTGGTAAGGTATTGACCCCCCAAAGACCAAATACCTTTGACTGTTCAATTCCATAATAAATTACCTAATCAAAATCATTTGGTATTTTTTATGCATTTTAGAGGCGAAATTCTGTGACAGAGGGTGGAATCCGCTACTCTGAGATCATGGAGGCCGGCAAGCCCAAGCTTGGTGGATTGATGGACCCAAGACAAGGTGCCATTGATAGAACATCAAGATGCCAGACTTGTGCCTGTAACCAAACAGATTGTCCAGGTATGTAATGGTAGTTGGTACACACAGAATTTCTTACTTGATATCAAAGAGGGACTGTTCACATTTTATCATGTACCGTAGCTGTAGAAATCTGCTCTGGTAAGGTAACAAAAGATACATGACAGATGTTGTCAGGCAGTGAGTAAAAAAAGAAGAAGTGTGGGATTAAAGCTATTTTGTATACTTTTTGTATGAAAGTAGAAGGAAGTACACCCTTTGATTGGCTCACAAATTAGGTAATACACTTTAACAAGTACTGTAGGTAATAAAATTTATTCAGAGCAAAAGACCAGTTCACGGTTGTCACATGTCCCAAATGGCCCTGAATATCCAAAGATCTTTGGTAGAGGTCCCTTTTTGTACAGCCTTTGTTTCCCCTTTTTAAAGAATACTTACACCTGTGTATCATGTTAGCGCTGCTTGTGCATAAATGAATAATGATTACATAACTTTCATGAGCACGTATCCAGTATTTTGTCTCGGTGTATTTCACAATTTTGTCTGCTCAGACTGCAACTATGAACTGGCTTATTGTCTGGAATTAAGTTGTTCAAGTACTATTTCAGATGAAGCCTAAAAAGAAATATCTGTATGAATCTGATTTCTCATGTCTTGATAGCAGTTAGCAGTCACCTCTCTACATTGCTACTTTTCCATCCATAGGGGATGACATGTTTTCTAGTAATAGCAATTTCAATAAATTTTGTCACCCCTGACCAGCAGATTGTATCCTTCTCTGAGTTCTCTCTCTCTGTCCTCTTCACTTTCCTAAAACTGTTATCATGTATTATGAAATGTCTATGTATTATCTTATTGTTATACTCACTGCATGTTTTCTGATTGGTCAAATAAATAATAATAATAATAATAATAATAATAATAATAATCCCTTCTTTCGTTTGATTTTGTAGGTCACTTTGGTCACATGGAGCTTGCCAAGGCAGTCTTTCATATTGGTTTCTTGACTAAAACCATCAAGGTTTTGAGATGCGTCTGTTTCTTCTGTTCAAAGCTCCTGGTTGATGCGGTAAGTGGTTTAGTCCTGCTCAAAATGTTTTTCATTCATGGGTGTTATGATGTACTTACAATAGGAATGCCATTTTTCAGGCTATTGCTTGATTTCTGGCCTTGGTACTCTAATTTTAGGTTCTAAATGGTACATGTATATCACTCATTAGGGTCAAATATGTCTGAGCCTCTTTACAGGCTCTCTAGGGAAAATTAACTAGTTTCCCTGCACAGTAGGAAATACACAAGTTCCATGTTTTGTTTTTAAATATTTGAGTGTTATAAACACTTCAGTTCAAGTCAAATGGTGGGGGAGCGATCAATTGTTGCTCAAACTTCGATGATAAGTATTTCAGGCTTCAGAATTGTTTCACAATTGTTTAATGAAAATACATTCCTTTTTTGCAGACATGAACAGATAACATGTTCAAATACAGAAGACACAAAAATTAAGATTACTTGTTACATGGAAAATCCTGATACATCTTTTTCAGACTTTTCTTCTGCTTTCAAACAATATTTACCTTGATCACATGACACTTTTGACTGCTTATTTGTAAGTCTTAAATTATACCTCATCAAATATGTCTATCCTTTCTTTGTGCTTGTGTAGAACCATCCAAAGATCAAGGAGATCCTCATCAAGACGAAAGGGCAACCCAGAAAGCGTCTGCTTCACGTCTACACTGAATGCCGTAAGAAGAAGATGTGCGAGGGAGGAGAGGAGATGGACCAGACCTTTGATGCTAACCTCGCCCAGAGGGAGGGGGAAGAGATGCCAGAAAAGAAAGTGGTGAGTAAAATCTTGTATATTTTTGAGATCAGAGATTAATAAGCCAGTCCACGGTTGCAGTCTGAGCATGAGCAGATAAAGGTCATTGCAGAACAAATTTTGAAATATACAGAGACGAAATAGTGGATACGTGCTCATTCATGCACAAGCAGTGCACTCCATAATACACAGGTGGAAGTATTCTTTAAAAAGGGGAACCAAAGGCTAACTATTTACATGTATCACCTCCATCGCTGTAGGAGTGATTATTTCAAAATGTACAAAGTGGGGTTTCTTCATGTTTTGAAGATCTATGGATATTTGGGGTCATTGCAGTAATGTGCTAACCTCGAACTGGTCTATTGAAACTGCTGCTCTACACTTCAGCATTTTTATCTAGGGTTGAGAGCAAAATCCTCAAAGTTCCGCTACTTATTGACATTTTGTTAGTCTGTGTGCATTGGACTCTTGTTTGTGTCAAGCGTGGCATGAATGCATTGATAATTTGTTTCATTTCGATATCACACGTTGTTTCTGTAGTATTTGCAACATGTACACGTTCCTCAACATATTCCCAATCCATTTCCTTTTCCATGTCAATGTAGGCCAACATCATTGTGAGAGAAAGAAAGGCAGGTCACAGTGCATACTAATCTTTCTAATTAGTTCCGTACTGCCATGAATAATGGATTCCAAAACTTGTGAACGGACTTAAACAAGCAGGATATTCCAAGAAATGTTTTTTTTTCCATATCTGTATAGATGGGATTGTTTTCCTAGTCTTATCCCACTCAATGCTATTTTGAAAATGTCCTTTCTTTCATTTTTTAAAAAGCATAACAAATTGAATTGTTATGTTCTTTTCACAATCCCTAGAGTCATGGAGGTTGCGGTCGCTACCAGCCTCAGATCCGACGTAGCGGTCTGGACCTGAGCGCCGAATGGAAACACGTGAATGAAGACTCACAGGAGAAGAAGATTGTCCTCACGGCCGAGCGGGTCCATGAGATCTTCAAGCGTATCTCAGACGAGGAGTCCATAGCTTTGGGAATGGATCCCAAGTTCACGCGTCCGGACTGGATGATCATCACCGTGCTCCCTGTCCCACCCCTCTGTGTCAGGCCGGCTGTTGTCATGTTCGGATCAACTAGAAATCAGGTAAGATTCAATACACCCCTTCATGGATAAGGCCGCCATTTTAATTTGCGAGTAAACATTGCATCATCAATCTTGTCAGACGCGCATGTACTGTTGCGTCACTGCCTGCGCTGGGCGCTCCCATCATATTGACACGTGCTGCATAAAATAAAAGTTACTTGCATTGTATTGCAATTTAAAATGGCGCCAATGTCGACGCATTGGCACTCTTGTAACCGTGAAAGGGTGTATTGAATTTCATTGATGTCTTAGAGTAGGTCTATCATAATGTAACATGTTTTTTTTAACATTTTGCGCGTAGCTGAACAGGTGATAGGGGAATTTCCAATACACTATGAATATATACTTAGTTCCTTGCTAATACTCTCTTGCCTACTTCTGAAGCATTTATTAGTGTAATTTTTGGGGGTAGTGGTATTCCTGATATCATATTTCAGATTTTACTTGCTGCTTTCCACCATATAGTAGTATAGCAATATGAGTATATTTATTTTGTGGTAATACAGACAGAATATGATTTTTAAAATGCAATAGAAATTTCACTCAAGAGTGGTCTCTTTATGTAGGAATGCAGAACTGAAATGCTTTTTTTTTTTTTTTCTTTCTTTTTTTAGAACAGCAGTTAGTACCATCACTTAGTGCTCATTTTCAAAATGCAAAGAAATATACATTTCATGCAATTACTGTCTGGAAAATCAATCACGTTCACATGAAACTGACTTTCTTTCATACGGTTGTGCTCTTGACAGGACGATCTAACGCATAAGTTGGCCGACATCATGAAGATCAACAATCAGCTGAAACGTAATGAACAGAACGGAGCTGCGGCACACATCATTGCAGAAGACACAAGGATGCTACAGTTCCATGTAGCTACCATCATTGACAATGAACTGCCAGGATTGCCAAGGGTAACTTGTCAGCATTTTTTTAAAGCCACCACTGCACTACTTATAGCTACTTGCGGCCTCTATATAGCAAACAATACCTAATCGGTGACCATTTGACCCTCATGATCCTCTTTTTCTTATGTATATTGAGAGCTGAGTTGATGAGATAACCACCTGTCAGTGACCTTGCAGGGTGGTCTAATCCCCCCTGTAAACTAGTACAGATGGGCTTTAACTGCTCTATGCGAATTTTTTTTGTTTATGATCAAGTAACAAGTGACCGATATTGTGGAATTCTGTGTTGAGACTTAATTTGGTGATGAAATTGAAGATTTTATTTTTTGCAACAAGTGGATAGATGTCATAATGATATGAGCTTTTGTTTCTATTTGTGAATTTCCTTTGGAAATGGAAGGAGATGAGATGTCTCTCCTTCTTTCCGCGTAGAGTTGGTTGAGAATTAAAAGAATGGCCTGAGGTGATGTAGGAGGAAGTTAAACTTTAAGACAGTATTTAGCTGTCTCCCTTAGACGTGGTTTATATATTCTTCTGGCAGTGTTAGTCGCCAACTAGTATACTGTAAACCAGCAAATGTCATATTCGTGATGTCTTCATGAATTTCTTGAGTGGTTCAGGATTCATGAAAGTTTCATGCTGTAAAATAATTGACTTGTAATTAACGCCAACCAAAATTTTTGAAATTCACAAAAGTTTCTTACCTTGTAAGTGGCAGTTGAATTCAAATGAATATCTCTGTCTCGTAGGCTATGTAAAAGTCCAGCAGACCTCTCAAATCCATAACAGTTTTTTGGCTTTACAGTACCTGTTCATTGACAGAAATAACTTAAATGAATTTTGTTACCAGAGATGAATGAATTCAATTGAATATTTTTGTCTCGTAGGCCATGCAAAAGTCCGGCAGACCTCTCAAATCCCTCAAGCAGCGTTTGAAGGCCAAGGAAGGTCGTATTCGTGGTAACCTGATGGGAAAGCGTGTGGACTTCTCGGCCCGTGCTGTCATCACCCCTGATCCCAACCTGATGATTGATCAGGTGGGTGTGCCCAGGACCATCGCTACCAACCTCACATACCCAGAGATAGTGACTCCATTCAACATTGCCAAGTAAGTACAGCAAGTTTTCTGTGCCCCGTCTTATAAACAGTTATCTTGTTATGGTTATGTACTTGACATAATCTTTGTCTGTTCAACAATTGCATAAGAAAAAAGAATCTGCCAAAGTCATGGAAATTGGCACCTTTTTAGTTTAAAGGGGAAGTCCACCCTGAAATTAAGTTAGTTTTAATAGGAGTAGAAAAATGAGAGAAACAAGTCGGTGAAAGTTTGAGCAAATTCCGATTAAAAATAAGGAAGTTAGGATTTTTGAAGTTGTGATCAATCAAACACAAATTGGCAACTCTATGACGTATCATGCGAGCTCAACTTCCATTTGCTCAGTACTAAAAAAATCTAAAATTTTCATTTTCCCTCAAGAAAAATTGCAACCATACATACACCCTAAATATAATAATTGCAAATATGTTCCTATACTCCCCCTGCAAGGAACAAATATATATTCCGTCATCAATAACGAAGAAAACATGATTTTATGGAATATTATGCACAAAGCAAATGAAGGAGAGCTCGTATAATAAGTCACAGAGTTGCCAATTTGTATTTGATTGATCACAACTTCAATAATTCATAACTTTTTTATTTTCATTCAGAATTTGCTCAAACTTTCACTCACCTGATTTTCTTATTATTCTGCCTCTATCGAAACAAACTTATTTTGGGGGTGGACTTTCCCTTTAAACTGACAATGGCTGTGGTATTTGTATGCTGCTAAGATGATGCTACCCATACCAAAATGGTACTTATGTGGTAATGGAAAAAGGCAAATATGGGTCATAGAAAGTCATGGAATTCTGTTCTCAAATTTCTGTGGGATCCCTGCTGTCGGCATAATTTCACTTTTAAACACTAGGGCGGTTAGCAAAATATTTGTTTTTGTTGGGCACCATGTAGAACATTTAATTAAAGGCATTATTTAACAATGTTATCAGTGTCTGTGATATGGTGTAATATTGAAGCCTTTAAAAAATTGTGCTTCAAAATAACCATAAAGTGCCTCAAAAAAATGTAAAAATCTTTGAGTGACCGGTGTTACCATACTCATTTTCCCCAATAGGCTGAAGTGTTATAAAAACCGAAAACGCAAAATTAGATTTCCATACCCAATCATAGATTTCTTGATAATCAGACAGGCGATAGGGTTGTAAAAGTCATGGGATTCCTGACTGACCTAAAGGATTATAATTTTGATTGCAGCATGAGCTAAATCCAGGATTTTGTTTCAGAATCTGAGGCGATGTTACTGAGTCACTTTAAAATTTTCTGTCACCTTTTCTTTTCAGACTGCAAGAGTTGGTGTCCAGGGGTCACAACCAGTACCCAGGTGCCAAGTACATCATCCGAGACAACGGAGAGAGGGTGGATCTCCGCTTCCATCCAAAACCCAGCGATCTTCATCTGCAGTGTGGATACAAGGTATCGTTTGAAATCTTTGCTTCTTGAAGAGAAGAACTGTTCAAGTGACTTATACGTTCTTGATTGTGCATACCTATTTCAGAAATAGTTGGGGCATTTGATCAAATGCATATTCCCTCTTTGAAATCTATTATAGACTTAATATTGTTCCAAATTTTCAAAAACATTTCTGCTTGTGATCTATTTTGAGAAATTTGCATGATAATGTGCTTATCGTCAATATAGTATGCCCCCCTGTACTTAAGTTAGGAAACGAACTGATTCTGTTTTAAGTCGGATGAATTTGAACAATGTCAGAAATAAGGAAAGATGGCAAGAAATCCTTGTTTAGATTGTGTTAAAATATATTTGTAAATCAAGAGATCACTAGAAGTTTAAAAATATACTTTGCAGGTTGGATAGAGATACCTTGAAGGAACTTATACTTCACATAGAAGAAGTATATTTAAAAATCAAATATATGATATAGAACTCTCTGAATGTCCTGATAATAACATTAAAGAGAAGGATGAGTTCTGGGAAGAGGTGAAAAATAATTTATGAGCGTTATCATTGTATTATGCAAGTGTGGAAGAACATCAGATAAAAAAAAATTCCCTGAAAAGCATGGCTCTTCAAATGCCTAAATATTCGAAATATGGCATGTAACCTAAAAATTGGGACAGGTTTTTATGCCACATGTTCATGTAGTCCTATAGACATCTTTGTGTACAGTGCTTCAAACTTTACCAAGACTGGGCCAAATTTCTTTTCATTTTGATGATTCCAGAACCATGCAGAACTCAACTTTATCTTTAAATTCCTTCCTGTATGATAGGTCGAGAGGCATTTGCGTGATGATGACGTGGTTATCTTCAACCGTCAACCCACACTTCACAAAATGTCCATGATGGGTCACAGAGTGAAGATCTTGACATGGTCAACCTTCCGTCTCAATCTTAGGTGAGTACTTTGGCAACCTAAGTGAACTTTCAGAGGAGTATATCTATTAAAGGGATCGTTAAACAATGTTAAATCTGAGATGCACGGCCCTACGTGTTATCAATGTCTGTGATATGTAGCCCTTGTAAAAATTGTGCTTCAAAATGATCAAGAAGTGCCATATTCGTTTTCCCAATAGACTGCAGTGTTATGAAAACCATTTGGCAAACGCAAAATTTGATTTTGATGTTCAATCATAAATATCTTGATAATCAGACAGGCGATCGGCGTGTAAAAGTTATGGGGTTCCTGACTGACCTTAAGGTGTATAATTATCATTGCAGGATCTAAGACAATGTTACCGAATCCCTTTAATATGTACAAAGATATAAATCAGCGTTATATTGATAAAGGTGGGAAATTGCATCGAAATTTGGGCCTTTGTAAACTGTAAAGGATGTATCCACTTTTATTAGGTGGCGTGAAGGAGAAGTCTTTATTTATGATACTCATAACTAGTGTATTATAGTTTTAATCGGATTATCAAAGAAAGGTATTATTTGTTAATATAGATCTATTGACTGCTATGAGAGGCATCGTTGTTTCTATAAGCTCAAGGGGGCGTTACATCCTGCTATGACCCAGAGGGGCGGCGCGGCGGCGAGGGGTTATCATGCAGTGCTTCAAAAAATGTAGCAATGAATCTCTATATGGTACAAAAACTGATATCCTAATTACTTTCCATTTATTTGACAGTGTAACCACCCCTTACAACGCTGACTTTGACGGAGACGAGATGAACCTTCACGTTCCCCAGTCCATGGAGACCAGAGCCGAAGTCAGTGAGATGATCATGGTATCCCGTAACATGATCACACCTCAATCTAACAGACCTGTCATGGGTATTGTGCAGGACTCGCTGTGTGCCATCAGGAAGTTCACCAAGAGGGATGTCTTCGTCACGAAGGTAAGCATCAATCGATTAAATGGTTCTTTTCTACAGCATCAAGTTGTCCCCCAGATAACAGCTTGTGTGGACCCCTTTGGAAACCAACGTAAGTTGAAAGGGTAATCCTCCCTTCATGTGGAAATAGATTGATAATATTTATTAAAAAAATTAAACTTATTGAAGTCTATTTCTGTAGCTTTTAGGGTGTATTCTTTAGAATGATGAACAAGTATTTCCTCTGTCTAGCCTCTAAGGTACTATAATAAAGGAAGTGTTTATTCAAGCGTTTATTCTATTAAGTGAAGACTCAGAACTAGGTGCAACTATATCACATAAATATCACATAAAATCAAGTGCTTATAAGACATGTAATACAAATCCATCAAAAAGGACATACTAATTATCTCACAATAAGTGACATTGCCAAACATGCCAAATAATTCTTAACTGTCTTTCTGACTCTAATATCCATTTTTATCAGATATTTGCGGACTCGGGACAAATGGAAAAAAATGATATAAATTGATGGTAAAATGTCATTCTTGCTACCTTTCTGACTCAAATATGCATTTTTATCAAACTCAGGACAAATGAGAAATAAATATTATGATTATAAATTGATGGTAAAATGTCATTATTGCTGCCTTTAAACCAACAGCCCAACGTGATGAACCTTCTCCTTTTCCTGCCTAACTGGGATGGTAAGATCCCCAAGCCAGCCATCCTGAAACCCAGACCTCTATGGACCGGCAAGCAGCTCCTAACGTTGGTCATCCCAGACAATGTCAACGTGGTCAGGTTTCACAGTACTCACCCCGACGGAGAGGACAGAGGTCCGTACAAGTGGCTCTCCCCTGGAGACACAAAGGTAAGATTTTGTAGTAGTAGTCACCCGACATTGTCCAGGTATATATAAGTCATCCAGGGGGGGGGGGGGGGGGGGGGGGGTGTTTCACAAAGATCCTAAGTTGGACTTACATATTATGGAGAGCCATTTGTAGCCTTAAAAAAGAACATATTCAAAAGCGAAAATTCAAGTATTTTAGACTTTTTATAAATTCCATGTCAAGAACATGAAATCTCCTTGATAATAGAAAAAATGAATGATTTAAATCAACATTGTATGCCTTTTCAAATAAGTTTTAAAAAATTAATTTCAAATATGCTAACAGCTTTCCATATTGACTTAATTGAAAACTTAATTTTTACATTAATTAAAGTTTCAAACATATTCAAAACCTTGCTAACATTTCTCTCTGTTTCCTGCATGTAGGTGTACATTGTGAATGGAGAACTGATCACTGGTATCGTGTGTAAGAAGACCGTTGGCGCATCGGGAGGTACACTGGGTCACATCATCTTCATGGAGAGAGGTCACGAGATTGCCAAGGAGTTCTACAGCGTCGTCCAGGTGAGAAGCATGCTCATGCAAAGAATATCTTTTGTGTTCGACTTTTTTTTCTTTCCAATGTTTGGTTGAGAAGTTTGTTTACTGGATTTGGGAATGAGTAAAAGGAACTGATGTAGATTGAAGTTCATGTGCTTTTCTCTGGCACTCAAAGAGAAGATGTATAGAGGAAGTATGGTTGAAAAGAATTAAAAACTTTGAAAAAGTACCTATAGTTTATATAATCATAATAATAATAGCTCACATTTATAATGCGCCTAATACTTTGTTTCTAAGCGCAGTACATATCATTACCCCTGTCATCAGATTCAGGCTTATCCGCACACAATAAATGCACATTCTCCACTCCCTGGGGAGCATTCCGGCTAGTTGCCATTTCACAAGCACCACTTGCTCATCCAACCACATTACCTTTCACATCCTACTGGGTACCCAATTAACACTTGGGTGGAGAGTGGCAAATGTAGAAATGTATTGTATTGTAGTGACTTGGACAACAACAATCTTAACTTCATTCCAATTCTTTTTCCTATTGCAAGGTCCTTGTGAACAACTGGCTACTCCTGGAAGGTCACTCCATTGGTATTGGGGATTGTATCGCCGACGCCAGCACCTACGACGACATCCAGAACACCATCCGCAAAGCCAAGCAAGACGTGATTGAAGTCATCGAGAAGGCTCACAATGATGAACTGACTCCCACGCCAGGAAACTCACTCAGGCAGACCTTTGAGAACCAGGTAAGCAATCTAAAAGAAAATGTTGAACATTTTGTGCATTCTACAGAAATGCACAAAAAGAAATGGAAAAAAAGCTACCATTGATGCTAACTTTGCCATCAATGGTAACCACCATGGAAACCTTGATTTTGATCGGCTGTTGAGCCATGTTACCATGGTAGTTGCCATTGATGACGTTCTATGCAACGTGGCCCTGGACTCTCGTTGATCAACTTGTACAGTATACTATGTCTCTACAAAGAATTGTAGGTTGCAGTCTTGAAGGGGATTGTTTGATGATGGATTATCACATTCTTTCTCTCTTTAAACAGATGTAAAAAAATATGTTTTACTTGGATTGTAATAGTCCTCAAATGCAGGAGATCAAAATGTTAATTTGTGTGTTTTAGAGGTTAATCACTGAGCAGATTGAAAATCTATATCCTAAATGTTACGTGAGTTCCAGGAGACAGAACTCTTAATGTAGTCACCCAAAGAAAATTCATGACAACTGACAATTATGGACAAATTATATATGGATGGAAAGATTTTCTCTTGAAAAACAGGTATAATTTATTGAAAAATAATATAGATATCATGGAAAGGTGTAAAATGCAATTTTGTTGCTAGCTGTGTCTCGCATGTGACGTCACAAATCTTGACGCTCTACGGAGGAGCGCTAAAGAGGGAAAATCTCATTAAAAAACTTTGAGAGATGATTACTGCGGGTCCCAAACATATTTTAAAGAGGGATGAATTTTGCATCAATTCAAAAACTTTTGATTCTTCGGGTGACTACTTTAAACGTGTGTTGTTCTGACTTGCTACAGGTGAACAGGCTGCTGAACGAAGCTCGTGACAAGACTGGTGGCAGTGCCCAGAAGAGTTTGTCTGAGTTCAACAACTTCAAGACTATGGTGGTTGCTGGTTCCAAGGGATCCAAGATCAACATCTCTCAGGTAACATGTCTGACTTTGCTGGCCCCGGGGGATGTTTCACAAAGATCCTAAGTCAAACTTAACTCTAATTTGGACTTAACAATTATGGAAAGCCGTTAGCATCATTGAAAATATTTTGTAAAAGTTATTTTAAAAGACATAAAATGTTGATTCAAATCATTCATATTTTCTATTATTAAGGAGATTTCATGTTCTTGATGTGGAACTAATAAAAATTCTAAAAAAGTTGAATTTTCGCTTTTGAATATATTTTATTTTAAGGCTTCAAATGGCTCTCTATAATGTTTAAGTCCAACTTAAAGTTAAGTTTGACTAGGGATTTTTATAAAACACCCCCCCCCCCCCCCCCCCCCACGGTGGTATTCTGGAAAAGATGTCTAATATGTCAGTAAAAATGTTTTTACTAACATTATTGTTATAATGAATTAAAATAACTTTAATAAGTGTGTATAGTTGGGTTCTTACATATGTGGTCAATCAGATACGACTATTTAATTATAACGCCACCATCCAAAAGACGTCACTCGGTGCTTGTTAGTAAGCAACCAGAGGACCGACAGCTTTAGGTCCTCCTTGAGGGACCATGTATTTGCCATCATTGTGGTACTGGTATGCATTTTTGAAAATATAAGATTGGCTTGAATGCTAGGTTTTTTAATGACACTATGACTATATCATCTATCCAAGCTCTTTTTGTTGCCATCCATTCCCTCCCTTTTAGGTTATTGCCTGTGTGGGTCAGCAGAACGTTGAGGGTAAGCGAATCCCCTTTGGTTTCCGTCACCGCACCCTGCCTCACTTCATCAAGGACGACTATGGTCCAGAGAGCAGAGGCTTTGTAGAGAACTCCTACCTTGCCGGTCTAACGCCGTCCGAGATGTTCTTCCACGCCATGGGAGGGCGTGAAGGTCTCATTGATACTGCTGTCAAGACTGCTGAAACTGGTAGGTGATGTCGAGGGGTCAGTGACACAACGACGTAACTCCATTTTGGCCATTTTAAGAAAAAGTGGTTTATGTGTCACTGGGCACTTGGGCCTTAAGGAGTTAAGTCTATGTTTCACTAGCCATTGACTTCAATGGGTGTTGGGTGGAGTTGAGTCTTTGTGTTTCCTGGAAAGCCCACATTTTTCTGAACATTTTGATATTACATCCTCATTTTGGCAAAATATGGAGTTACGTCTTTTTTTGATGTGAACTGTAATGATTGGATTTATATTGTACTTTTAGAGAGGATGCAAGGAGCTGTTCTTAAGTCTATTTAGAAAAGGAGTAAGTTTGGGATGGTTCTTTTCTTTTTCTTTGGTTTGAATAATCAGGTGAAGTACAATCTCTTGAAAATATGGATGGGATAGAAAGATCGTTTCTTTGTTGAAAGACCTTCTGAAACAATGATTTATTCACAGGAACAAATTGAACTTTTTAAAAGAATTTGGCCAAGATTGTCTGGGCATGTGGATCACAAATATTTAGAGAACTTGTTACAGATAGTGGACAAAATAATGAATTCTGATATCAGAACAGACCTACATCCTACAATCACATGGTTAGGGAGGAAAGAAATTGCATTACCCTAACAGTCCTGCAAAAAGACTGTTAATCTTCGCTAGAACGATGACTGAATATTACAATCATTGGGGAATCGCACACACAAACTGCACTGTATTGTATTTGCGCTCACACAGAGGATCTTTATACAGGTAAACCAATGGGGATTTGGCATGCGGGCATCTTTTAAAAGACTATTGACTGGTTGGTGGGCATGGCTAAATCGAGACCCCAATTTCGACCAATCAGATGGCTAGATTTCTAAAGAGAGGTATATAAAGCCGTCTATTCTCCTCATCAGGAAAATTGTCAGTAGTAGAAGTTAAAGTTGGTATATAAAATAGGATGTATAATAACAAAAATGTATTGACACCTACAACTGATTCTCATTCATCATAATAACAATAATAATAATAATAAAAACTGCTTATAAAGCGCTACCACCGGGGTGTCTCTAAGCGCTATACTTTACTTTACTTTACTTTTACTCTACTTTACTCTGCTTTACTTTACTTTACTTTACTTTACTTTACTTTACTTTACTTTACTTTTCTTTTCTTTACTTTACTTTACTTTACTTTACTTTACTTTACTTTACTTTACTTTACTTTACTTTACTTTACTTCTGTCAGGTTACATCCAGCGTCGTCTGATCAAGGCTATGGAGAGTGTCATGGTACGCTACGATGGCACCTGCAGGAACAGCAATGATCAGCTGGTACAGCTGAGGTACGGTGAGGACGGTCTGGACGGCACGTCGATAGAGTTCCAGAACCTTGCCTCGCTCAAACCATCCCACAAGGCCTTTGAGAAGAGGTTCAAGTTTGACTACAACAATGAGAAGTAAGCAAGCTAATAATGATAATAATAGTTCGTTCTTATATAGCGCTTTTCAAGACCACAGGCCCTCTCAAAGCGCTTTACAGATATATATTATGAAGATTATGAAGCATTTCAGTCTTGCAGAGTATTAATTCCTTCTACCATACCCCTCACTACATCCCCATTCTCTTTCTCTCTTTCTCCATCTATAGTTTTCTTGTATGTTTGTCAGATGAATGCCACATTGGGAATTCCAAATAATAGGCATTTGAGAAGAGGTTCAAGTTTGACTACAACAACGAGAAGTAAGCAAGATGAAGCAATTCAGTCTTGCAAAAAAAAATTAATTCCTTCTACCATACCCCTCTCTACAGCCCCATTCTCTTTCTCTCTTTCTCCATCTATAGTTTTCTTGAATGCCACATTGGGAATTACCAATAATTGGAGTTCCCTAATGCTCTTTTGGCTATGCACATACAATGAAAAGAAAAATTCAGTCAGCTCAATCACTGTCTCTCTCTCTCCCTCCCTCTGTTTATCGTTCATACCTTATTTAAACTCCCACTCTTTCCCTTTCTCTATCTCTCAAGCGAATGCTGTCTCAAACTTTCTATCAATGCCTCTCTTTATGTCGCACTTTCTCTATAATTTGTACTGTGTATGAGCATCTTTCAATTAAACTAATGATAATAATATAATATAAACGGTGCTTATAAAATAACTGTAACAAACAAAATACAGTGATAAACAATTCCATATTAAACAAAACAAAAGATTACAAATAAACCTACAAATTGCAATACATATGAAATATTACAATACGTATGAACTCTTTTCTCTCCTACTCTAGGATGTTGAGGCGTTGCTTCAATGAGAAGATCGTGAAGGATGTGGTGGCCAACGCCCACGTCCATCTGGAGCTTGAGAAGGAGTACGATCAGCTGAAGGAAGACCGAGAAGTCCTCCGAAAGATCTTCCCCAAGGGAGAAAGCAAGGTCAGCTTCCCGACTTGTCATTTGGCCTGTCTTCTTTAGCTCGAGATTGCCAAATAGCCTGCTATTTCTGATTTGGGAAATAATCCTGAAGTTACAAATTGCGTCTTCGTCAGCTCGAGACTTGAAACTTTAGTTCGAGAAATTGGCTCGAGATACTTTGCTCAGCGTTCGCGCATAGTGCGAGTCTTCGGGCTGGTGAAGTGGCACCGGGCAAATAGCGGGATATTTTGCAAACTAGCCGAAGATATCTTGGGATGATTATCTCGACCAAATATCCCGCTGATGAAGCTGGATAATTTGTGATCGGGATCGGGATAGTTCAAATAGCGGGGTATTTGGCAATCTCGAGCTGATGAGGACAGGCCTGTTTTTCACACCCGTTTGCAATTTCCTACCGTCTGCATGGATGCCAATTTACACCCGTCAGCCTGTTTCGGGCCCTTACTGCTCAGCAACGGTTTTAATAACACTACAGTCTAATGGGGAAAAGAAGTATGGTACAACCGGTCACTTTTTTGAGGCACTTTATGATCATTTTGAAGCGCAATATTTTTAGGGCTTCAATATTACACCATATCACAGACACTGATAACACGTAGAGCCATGCATCTCAGATTCAACATTGTTAAACGATGCCTTTAAAGTAGGAGTTAATGTCTTCCTGGCTTCAAACAGAAAATATGTATCTAATGGAATATTGCCTTTAAACACTTCCAAAGACTTGCCACCCAAATGCCGCAATTTCATTCATGAAAATGGTCTTGCGCTATGTAATTTCATACACTGATGTTTTCTTTTTTCTTGCTGCAGGTGGCTCTTCCATGTAACTTGGATCGTATGATCTGGAATGCACAGCAGATCTTCCATATCAACACAAGACTGCCGTCAGAGCTTCACCCCTCCTTTGTCTTAGAAGGTAAAAAATCTCTTCTTTCATATACAGTTAAGATGGTGTTAAAGGGAAAGTCCACCCCCAAAATAAGTTTGTTTCGATAGAGGCAGAATAATAAGAAAATCAGGTGAGTGAAAGTTTGAGCAAATTCTGAATGAAAATAAGAAAGTTATGAATTATTGAAGTTGTGATCAATCAAATACAAATTGGCAACTCTGTGACTTATTATTCGAGCTCTCCTTCATTTGCTTTGTGCATAATATTCCATAAAATCATGTTTTCTTCGTTCTTGATGACGGAATATATATTTGTTCCTTGCAGGGGGAGTATAGAAACATATTTGCAATTATTATATTTAGGGTGCATGTATGGTTGAAATTTTTCTTGAGGGAAAATGAAAATTTTAGATTTTTTTAGTACTGAGCAAATGGAAGTTGAGCTCGCATGATACGTCATAGAGTTGCCAATTTGTGTTTGATTGATCACAACTTCAAAAATCCTAACTTCCTTATTTTTAATCGGAATTTGCTCAAACTTTCACTGACTTGTTTCTCTCATTTTTCTACTCCTATTAAAACTAACTTAATTTCAGGGTGGACTTCCCCTTTAAAGGTATAGACTAGTTCTGGTCATGAGATTCCATCAGAAAAGGTTGATCATCTAGCATATAAGTAATGGTGTGTACTGCGAGGTTCTGGAATGATCAAAATGATAACAAATTTGGTCCAGTCTTGGTGAAGTTACAAGCACTTTACACAGAAATATGTATATGGGACTACACGAACATGTAAAAATCTGTCCCAATTTTTAAGTTGTTAATGCCTAATTTAGAATATGAAGGCTTTTGAAGAGCCAAGCATTTCAGGGAACATTTGTTATCTGATGTTCTTTCACATGTGCATAATAACAATGATAATGCTCACAAAGTATTTTTCACCTCTTCCCAGAACTCAACCTTCTCTTTAAGAATGCATGATGTGAACATGTGATAAAAAGTCAGTGACTGTATGCTATATTCCAGTCGATTTCTTGCTCTCCTTTACATATCAACTCTTACATCTAATTATACCGAGCTGTGGTCTGAAGGCAACTGACCTGAAATTACAAAGACCCCTAGATTTGATCAATAATATTCTTGTGCGATTGAAAAGGACTTAGACAGTTTCCCCAAAACAATCCCCTCAGACTACATTTAGTGTAAAGTCATAATGATTGCTAGGGTTACAGAGTGGATGTTAATTTCAAGTTAATTCCAAAGCTTTTAAGTATTGCATTGGGACTCAAGAAGTAGTATCTTAACCCTATTTTAACTGGGCTATTTCAGACCAGTATTTATGAAAAGTCTAAAATACTTGAATTTTTGCTTTTGAATATATTTCATTATAAGGCTACAAATGGCTCTCCATAACTTTTAAGTCCAACTTAGAGATAAGTTCAACTTAAGATCTTTGTGAAACACCCCCTGGCTGTTTAATCCATTTTGATGATTATCCACCATTTCTTCTCAGGTGTACGTGACTTGAAGAAGAAGCTGGTGATTGTAAAGGGCGAGGATGCTATCAGCAGGCAAGCCCAGGAGAACGCTACCTACTTGATGAACTGTCTCATCCGCTCCACGCTGTCTTCCACCAGAGTAGCTCAGGAGCACAAGCTGTCTCCGGAATCCTTTGAATGGCTCCTAGGAGAAATAGAGACCAGGTTCAACCAATCTCTGGTGAGTGTAGTGTACCAGTTATGGACATTATACAAAATGAAGGGATTCGTGTTTTATTTTAACTCTGGGCTTTTGCTTGAGAAGTGATAGAGGGACAACAAATAAAGGATGTGTTTATCTCTTTAGAATCCTTTGAATGGCTGTTAGCAGAGCATTGTTTCGCGAAACCATCACAAGTACCGCTTTATCTCATTAAAACACATGTTAATAACAATTCATGCTTTTCAGTGGGATGTCGGTGGACTTATACTAATGATTGTTTTGTGAAAAGCTACCTAGGTTGAACTCCTGTTTATTTGTAGAGATGGAAGGATTCCTTGAAAATGATGTTTGGCATATTTGCTTTTAGGTTTCAGTTTGCTGTTAATCAAATTCGATACATGGGTTCGTTGAAGCAACAACAGCAAATTTGATACATGGGTTCGTTGAAGCAACTGTGTGAACAGGAGCCAGTGTAGGGGAAGACTCAGAATCCGATGAGACCAATAAATATTTCCCTAAATAAGATGCTCAAGAGTTTGTTTTTGGAGTATACTGAGAGAGGTTGAAATACAGCAGGCATACTTCTGGGCATGGGATTTTTCATTGGTCATCATATATATTTAGTAGATGTAACATGTTGGGATAAATCATCTACCAAATACCAAATGTAGTAATACATTTCCAGTTACAGTCAAACCTTCTTTAGTGACCAATTGTCTAAAAAGACCACATTTTTTGTTTCCCTTGAAAATGTTTTCTCATTGAAACACGGTACAAGGAACCTGTCTACAAAGACCACTTTTGAGTTTCTCTTGGGCGGTCGCTATAGACAGGTTCCACTGTATTATATTTTGAGGGCTACACAAATGGATCTATATATCTACAAGTTGAAGACTTGAACCATTTGTATTTGCTGCTCATCTCCAGGCTATGGCAGGTGAGATGGTGGGAGCCCTTGCTGCCCAGTCCCTGGGAGAACCTGCCACTCAGATGACCCTCAACACCTTCCATTTCGCCGGTGTGTCGGCCAAGAACGTAACCCTTGGTGTACCCCGTCTCAAGGAGATCATCAACATCTCCAAGAAGCCCAGGACTCCATCCCTGACGTGCTTCCTGCTAGGCAAGGCTGCTAGAGATGCTGAGAGAGCTAAGGTGAGTAAGCCACAGCCAGAGGCAGCTTTGTTTCGTGGGTGGTTCAACATTTGATCTAGGCATTATTTCTATAAAGTAGTCACCCAAAGAATCAAAAGTGTTTTGAATTGATACAAAATATATATCATTGCAAAGGGGAAGCCTTACTGATCAAATATAACAACTTCCCTGTTCAAAATACGTTTGGGGCCTGCAGTAATCATCTTTTTAAAACTTCTTCGAAATCACATTCAATATAAACCACAACTCTTATTTGCACATAGTGACCTGTGTTAAGCACATGGTGTCTTCCAGTACTGTCATGATATCCATATTACAAACAAATTGTTTGTGTATAGTTGTCAAGTGTCGTAAACCACACTGATGTTTCTCATCGACATCATCTCATATGCATCACATCCTTCACATAACATTTGCTACATTTTTGTTATTATTAAAGGACACTATGTCGCCTATCCTTCACATAACATTTGCTACATTCTTGTTACTAAAGGACATCCTATGTCGCCTGGAGCACACCACCCTCCGCAAAGTGACCGCCAACACGGCCATCTACTATGACCCCGAACCTCAGGGCACGGTTATCGCCGAGGACCAGGACTGGGTCAACCTCTACTACATGATGCCGGACTTTGACCCCACCCGCATCTCGCCCTGGCTCCTCAGGGTCGAGCTGGACCGGAAGAGGATGACCGATCGCAAGCTCAGCATGGAGCAGATCGCCGAGAAGATCAACGCAGGGTTCGGGGATGATCTCAACTGCATCTTCAACGACGACAACGCGGAGAAGCTCGTGCTGAGGATACGTATCATGAATAGCGATGAGAACAAGTTCCAAGATGTAAGCATGGGGGAGGGGCTAAAGCATGCAAAATGCAAGCAGAAAGCATTATAGGGAAATATGAAACCTCAGCTTGGCCCGAGTTGGGGTTAATAAGACTGCTTTGCTAACTATATCCAATAGTCAGGATTTTGAGTGGTATATATTAGTTGTCATACAAATCATTTTTTATTTGTTGCTAGTTTTCCGTTCCTTGCATGACTCTGCTCCTTCCTACAACATGAAGTTAATTGGACATCTTCGTTCGTCTCAATCCTCCTTATGAGTTGTCCCTAAGACGCGCAGTTCCTGGGGGGATAGAGCCTTTTGTCATTCTGGTCCGTCCCTTTGGAATAAGCTACCACTTAGTATTTGTAGCTCAACAGCCCTCCATGACTTCAAAGTTGCTCTAAAAACACATCTCTTTCTAAACAGTGCTATTTAATTATGACAATTATAATTGTGGCGTAATACTTTGTGTTGTTTTAGCATATCTGTACTTAAGTTGAGAAAGTGATATGTTTGTGATTGTAATATGTACAGCACCATGAGCGTCAGAGCCTGACGGATACCGGCGCTGTATAAATATCCATATTATTATTATTATTATTAAAAAATTTAAAAGGAAAACATAAATCCAAGCTCAGAATCGTAAACTTAGTTTTTCATCCAACTTTTATGCATATTCACTTTTGTTATTCACTTTATTATCAATTTACCCATTGTCTGAACGTGACACAACTTGTTTCTTTTCTTTGTACGTAGGAAGAGGAGCAGGTAGATAAGATGGAGGATGACGTGTTCTTGAGGTGCATTGAATCTAACATGCTGACGGACATGACACTCCAAGGCATTGAACAGATCGCAAAGGTAAATATATCGTAAATCATCCTAACCCAAATCTTGACTAAAACTATACTTGCAATTCATAGAGAGTTCCAGAAACTGTCATATGTAGATGTTTCAAATATTTCTTTTGAGAAAACAAGTATTGAGAGGAATGAAAAGCCATGCTATGATGTATTACTGCTCCCCCCCCCCCATCCCCACCCTTCCCAATGATCTTTAAGCAAGGGCTTTTGTATGGGAGTCAGGGAGAAAACAGAGTTCCATCAACATTTGTGGTCTCCATGTATTTTCACTGCAATGTAAAAGGCATTCCTGGACTGGTACCAACTGATATGTTTAACTTCTCTGGTCGATGTATCATACATAAATCTCAGAGTTTCATGTCATGCTTTGTTAACTTGAAAACTTTCGCATAAGATGCAAAGGTGTCATAGAGCCCAGGGGGGCATGAACAGCCTGCCAAATGTAAGTCCAACTTAAAGTCGATCTTAGTCTTTGTGAAACACTCCCCAGAAATGCTAGTTTGTAGGCTTTTTACTGCCCAAGTTTTGGCCCTGTAAACTCTCTTCTTTAAGAATTGTTCAAGCTTTACATTGCACAGAACATGGGGGACTTCTACATGTGTAGGATTATCCTTGGGCTAATTGATTAACAACCTACTGGTATCCCTACAAGCTATTGAAATCCTGCTTGTTTTTCTTTCCACACCAGGTATACATGCATCTGCCTCAGGTACCTCCGAAATAGCTCTGGTCCAGAATTAAAAATTCCATAATTCACTGGGACAAAATCTCACTTTTACAGTAGAAAATTGTTTAAAGAGGTCCTGTGGACACAATAATAATTCTTACACTAAGAATAATCATGTTTTTCTCCTTTCCACACCAGGTATACATGCATCTGCCTCAGGTGGCCAACAAGAAACGTATCATCATCACAGAGGAAGGAGAGTTCAAGCACATCGCAGAGTGGATCCTGGAGACGGACGGTACGGCTATGATGAAGGTCCTCAGCGACCCTGAAGTAGACCCTGTCAGGACGTTCTCCAACGACATCTGTGAAATCTTCCAGGTACGTTGTCCCATTTCAACTCATTCCTTTGTTGTGAAGACGTTGAGATTGTTAAAGGCATCATTTAACAATGTTAGATCTGAGATGCATGGCCCTGTGTTATCAGTGTCTGTGATATGGTGTAATATTGAAGCCCTAAAAAACATTGCGCTTCAAAATGAAGTGCCTCAAAAAAAAGTCAAAATCTCTGAGTGACTGGTTTTACCATACTCCTTTCCCCCAATAAACCCCAATAGACTGTAGTGTTATTAAAAATGTTGGGAAAACGTTTTTGAAATTTCTAATTCTAATCATTGATATCTTGGTAATCGAACATACGATTGGCTTGTAAAAGTCATGGGATTCATTTCTGACCTAAAGTTTTATAATTATGGTTGCAGCATGAGGTAAGTCCAGGATTTTGTTTAGAATCTTGAGGCAAAGATACCCAGTGTACCTAGTGTATATGGAACAGCAGTTTTAAAACGAAAGATCAATTGTTACTCTTTCTTTCCATCAGGTATTGGGTATTGAAGCTATCATCACTTGGCTCTGCTTTGTGTTGTTATGAAAACCAGGGGCTATATCACTATCGTTATTCTTATTTTATGTTCTTATTCTCTGTTTCCATCAGGTATTGGGTATTGAAGCTGTGCGTAAGTCTGTAGAGACTGAGATGAACCATGTGATCTCCTTTGATGGTTCCTATGTGAACTATCGTCACTTGGCCTTGCTGTGTGATGTGATGACTGCCAGGGGTCATCTCATGGCCATCACCCGTCATGGAATCAACAGGCAGGATGTCGGTGCCCTCATGAGGTGTTCCTTTGAAGAGACGGTAAGTCCATCAAGGAGACGGGGGGGGGGGGGGGGTTCACAAAGCTTGTCATCAGTGATAAACCACATTTTTTGTTGTAAGCTACTGAAATCCTTGCTTCTGATTGGTTATCAGCAGAGTTGTCACTGATTTTTGTCATTTGTCATTGAAAAAAGGCTTTGTGAAACACCCTCTAGCCGTTCTTGTGTTTTCTGAAATGTATAGCCAGAGGGACTATGAAATATAGTGACACTGCTTTTGGGCACTTTAATTTTCAATACTTGTGAATGATCTGGGGGTGTTTCACAAAGTCTAAGATCGACTTTAAGTTGGACTTAACTATGGCAGGCTGTTCATGCCACTGTTTGCTCCCACCATTGGTCTGTCTCTCAATAATGATCTTTAGATAATATTTTTTACTTCATTAATGAATCATCAACAAATGTAAATTCTGTAGATTTGTTACAATGATTTGTGTGTCCTTTGAGAATATCAATGCCAGTAAATGGTGAGAGCGAACAGTGGCATGAATGGCCTGCCATAGTTAAGTCCAACTCAAAGTCAATCTTAGTCATTGTCAAATGGGATGCCCAAAGTTATCCCCTACATTTTAACAAAGTGTGACTGTATTTCCAATGATTTCAATTAAATTGTAGCTAAAAAATACACATTGCTTTAAAGTGTTTTGTTACTAATGATAAGGTTAATCTACATCTATTTCAACCTTAGCTTATGCAATTAAAAAGATTTGAGAATCCCATTTAGCTCTGCATATTCAAGTCATTTGTAAAGTCATGTGTAACTTTATGCACAGCCTTATGAAACACCCCCCTGGTGTCATGAAAATCAGTGATGCACATTTTTATTGCCACTTTTTTTACTGGACACGCACAGGTTGACATTTTGAATGACGCCGGTGCTCACGGAGAGACGGATCACTTGAAGGGTGTGAGTGAGAACATCATGCTTGGCAAGCTAGCTGGCCTTGGCACGGGTTCCTTTGATCTGCTGCTCGATGCAGAGAAGTGCAAACACGGCATGGAGATCCCCATGGGCATGGGAGCAGGGCTAGGTAAGAATCAGTCATTCTCTGGTTGAAATTAGTCTATGAATGCTGGCATTGATAAATGGACAAATTCAATTCAATTCAATTCAAATGAACATTTATTTACTTCCAAACAATACAATTTATAAGTAGGAACATAAATATAATTAAAGAACTTGTATTACAAGGAAGAAGGCGCAAAACCCGAAAAGCATAGCTTGTAGTGGGTAGGCCTGAATACATAAATACAATTATACATTATAAATGGGAGAAAGGAAGAAAGGGATAGGCAAAGAGGAGAGGAGGATAGAGAGCTTGGAGAAAGAGAAAAGAAGAGGACTGCAACATAGTATCAATGGAGTGTATGGCATGCATAAACAACATGATGGCAAGATTATATATGAATGGAAAGATCTTCTCTATGGATGGACAAATTTTCTCTCGAAAATCACGAATAATTTGCAGGACTATCATAAAGATATCATGGAAAGGCGTAAAAAGCAAAAATCTAGATCTCAAAATTAACATTTTTGAGAGATGACTACTGCGGGACCCCAAACATATTTTGAAGAGGGAAGTTGTTGTATTTGATCAGTAAGGCTTCCCCTTCGCAATGATATGAATTTTGCATCAATTAAAAATACTTTTGATTCTTCGGGTGACTACTTTAATACAGTAGAACCTTGTCAATTACAAATTCTTTTAGACCAATAAATTTCCTTGTTATATTGAAATCGTTCATATCAAAAATTTGAATAAAATTATGAAAATACAAAGGAGTGGGACCAGCAAATTTACCTTATCATAACAACAGTAAATTGTAAAAGTGTTTGTTATAACAGGGTTACCCTGAAATGTAATCCTCATTTGTCTTCAACACTTTTTAAAAAAAAACTAGGAAGGAGTTGATAATGAGATTAATTCTTGCCAATTTGAGGAGGGGATACTGATTAATTTAGTAATTCAGACAATTCTGAACTGCTTTAAGTTTGTATGCTGTTTAGTGCTAAGGGATCACCCTCACCTTCGCCTCAATGCAAGCCAATGCCATAGATTTAGAGATAGTCAAACCTGACAAGTAGTGTCAAGTGCAAGCATAGTTTAGGTAAGCTCCCTAATAAGTAATTATTGAGTTTCTTTGTTTTTTGTTGAAAACTAACAACTAATCAAAACCTCTGAGAGTGAGTGGACAATCAAACAGATGGGAGCTGAAAAATAACTTGCATCTGATGCAACTTTTCTTTTGTTTAAAGCATTGATCTGACGTTTACTCCAGCAACAGTTGATCTAGGCGTTATCGTGTCAAAAGTGTAGGGTTAGGGTTACAATAGGCATGAAGGTTACGTTTAGAAATAAGGTTTGAATTGAAATGGGGTTTTAGGTTTAGAGTTGGGGTTAGAGGCAGATATAGTGTAGGTTTCAGGATTGAAATTAGGAATTCAATATGTGTAAAGATTTGACCGCAGAGCAATGGTCACAAGTTCATTTTTCTAACCATGTATTTAAAGGCATGTGTGAACAAATAAATATTAAAAAACCCAGGGCCCTGTCCTACAAAGAATTGCTATCAATCAAAACTTATTTGTACATTATTGTACATAAGAGATAGGAGACTGCAAACTTGCGATTGATTTCAGGACTTGCGATTGATTTGGAAGACAGGGCCCAGATGGCTGTGTGCTCACAGTCTTCTATTAACCTCGGACAGACTGCATCGGTGCAGGGTGGGCATAATGCACTGAGCATTATAGCCTTCTCAACCGTACAGATGTTTGGACTCAAAAAGCTCCTCAGAACTCATGTACAGAATATCAGGGTAGTCCACAAACACAAACTAAAATATGTAATCTTACGAATGGGGGGGATTATGATCCAATGAACATGTAGTGCGTTGCAGTCTGGGTCCAGCTCTTGCATTCTGAGATGTGCTTTGATGCTAAGCGAGCCATATTTTGAAGCATTTCCAATCACATTTTATGACTAACATTTCGTAAATCATTTTGGTTGAGTTTGTCAAAATGAAATTCAAACGTGTTGCTGATATTCAAACGTGTTGCTGATATTCAAATCTGTAGTTTCAAAATTCAAGCCTGTTACATGTAAAAACCACACATTGACCACCGATAGAATACGAAAATGTCTCACACGGCTATATTATGATACATATTTCTCAAGTTTTAGCATGTTGTAAATCTCGTTCCATGTGAATATATTATGTTTATCAGTTGGTATGTTGTTTGGTGCTATTGGTTCGCCATGACAGAGTATCCACTCCTGACGACGGATAGTCAACGTGTTGGAAACGTCAAGCCACTCCCGCCACCCATCCTCTCCAAGCGCTATAGTTCTCCTTAGAACTATAAGCTAAGAAAGATAACCAACAGTATTTTTCAAGACTACACCAACAGTCCTTTTCAGGACCACACACCCTCAAGAAAGATTACCAAGAGTCCTTTTCAGGACTCTTTAATCCTCCCTCTCTCTCACATGGTGCACCCACAAGCCTACTGTATATCACAGAGTATGTCGCCTTAGATATTCCCTTAAAACCAAGCTTTTAAACCCTGTTTAATATTTTGTTTTGTTTTTAGTTGGTATGCCTGGGATGTTGTTTGGTGCCATGGGCTCACCATCACAGAGTATGTCACCTCAGATGACACCGTGGAACCAAGGAGCTACCCCAATGCATGGTGCAAGCTGGTCTCCAATGATGGGTAAGTACAATTGGACACTAGCCCTAATGGGTGTCAGATAGTTGGACATTGCATAAAAAGTTTAGAAGTTCATATTTTTTGCCCAATCTATAGTTTTATATCGCTAACAAATCAGTATCATAATTGTGAAAATCACAAAATGTCAGAAGAGTTTACTAAGGAAGCCTCAACAGTTACCTTACATTCTTGAAATCGAAGTGTACTGTTAAAGTATTTTGAAAATTTGTTTTTATAAAATGAGTAATTCTTGTAAACTAAATGCTCCTAGAGTGTGAACAAGTTTATGAGAATCTCTCGTAGAATCGACAAGTTCTGTGTTTCTTGTGCTGCTTAGAAGATTGCAAGAGTGGAGATAGACCGATTAAAATATACATTCAAAATTTTACTCTGTCATTGAATTGACATGCAAATCACTATACATTTTAATGGGTTTTTTTTTCTGTTGTTCGTCCATTAGGGAGCGGTATGACTCCAGGAGGACCCGGATTCAGTCCCGCAAACTCTGAGAGTACCGGTTTCAGTCCAGCTTACAGTCCAGCCTGGTCACCGCAACCTCAATCTCCAGGCTCCCCAGCAAACAGTCCATACATTCCATCCCCAGCTGGACCTATGTCACCCAGCTACTCTCCAGCCTCACCTTCTTACCTACCGGCATCACCAGCCACACCTCAGAGTCCTGGGTATTCCCCTACGTCTCCGTCGTACTCCCCCACCAGCCCTGGGTACTCACCGGCTAGTCCGAGCTACTCACCAACCAGTCCAAGTTACTCACCGACATCACCGAGTTACTCCCCAACGTCACCAAGCTATAGTCCAACTAGTCCAAGCTATAGTCCTACTAGCCCAAGCTATAGTCCAACGTCTCCAAGCTACTCCCCAACTAGTCCAAGTTATAGCCCAACTTCTCCTAGTTATTCTCCGACTAGTCCAAGCTACAGCCCTACAAGTCCTAGCTATTCGCCAACTAGTCCATCTTACTCGCCTACGTCGCCAAGTTACAGCCCGACTTCGCCCAGCTATTCCCCAACCAGCCCGTCGTACTCTCCGACATCCCCAAGTTATAGCCCGACATCACCCAGCTATTCGCCAACAAGCCCTAGCTATTCACCAACTAGTCCCAGCTACTCTCCTAGTTCTCCCAAGTACTCTCCGACGAGCCCCTCGTACAGTCCAACCTCTCCCAGCTACTCGCCTCAGTCACCGAGTTACAGCCCTGGATCACCGAGCTACTCCCCATCCAGTCCCAAGTACTCTCCTACTAGTCCTTCCTACAGCCCCACTTCTCCCAGCTACAGCCCCACATCGCCCAACTTCAGTCCAAGCAGCCCCACCTATTCCCCTGCTAGCCCGAGCTACTCTCCAACGAGTCCTAAGTACTCGCCCTCCAGCCCCAAATACTCTCCCACCAGCCCCACCTACTCACCGACATCGCCCAAATACAGCCCGGCGTCGCCCACATACTCGCCTACCAGCCCCAAGTACAGTCCCAGCTCCCCCACCTACTCCCCTACCAGCCCCAAGGGCTCCACCTACTCCCCCACTTCACCCAGCTACTCGCCCACTTCTCCATCCTATAGTCCTACAAGCCCTGGCATGGGTGATGATGATGAAGATTAGACTTAGTCATGACACTCCTGGGTCCTGTTTCATAAAACTTGATATCAATAACAAGTTAAAAGCTATTGTTATAAGCTACTGAAATCATGGCATCTGATTGGCTGAGATCAAATTTGTCACAAAAATTTAGCAGTTGGTATAGATAACAAGTTTTATAAAACAGGCCCCTGAACCTCCTACATGCTTTCCTGCGTGACGAAGCAGTTCAGTGTCTGATACACACGTTGCCTTTGGATGTCTCGCCCTATGCTTGAAAATGGACAATGCTTAATAGGTTCGTGCATCTTTGACGAATATCCTTGTGCCAAGAGTTTGACTATGATTCTTTGTCCTGGTTGGCATAAGAGAATAAGAGCAAACTCAACTTTACTGTATTTAATGCTGTTGTTCAATGCTTCTTCTTTTGAATTTTCTCTTGATAAAGAGGTTATACTGTGAAGAAACAGGTTTTTATATTTGATCAGGTGTGTGCTTTTTGCTATTGTTACGATGCTGAGAAACGTTAGGAAGGTCAGTAATTGCTATCCCCTTATTCATAATGTCATATACTAATTTTGATGGAAATCTGATATGCAAGTATAGTTGAGGATAAGCATATTGTATACATGTGTGATTGATGAAAATCATGATTTTAACGTAAAATAAAATGATGTGCATGAAATATTGAGAGAAACCTAGAATGCCTGTGTTGTCAACTTGTACTTTATGACAAAAATATATCCATGTTGTTTATGCCCAAGAGTAACTTACTAACTTTCAATGAAAGTTCATTTATGTGAGGAGCTTATATTCAATACATGTATTTGTATCAATGGGACTACATACATTTGAAATTGTATAAAATCAGTTCACAACAATTTAACCTGTTTTTACAGTTAAAAGAGGAAAATGTCATAACTCTTGTTTGTACATTTCATTGTGTATTTACATTTTTTGGAGTATAACTTTCGATTTTTCTGGGTGGGGAGGTAGGGGGGTAGACTTAAAACACAGCTTAGGAGGAAAATAAGGAACACCAACAAAAATCTTAAAAGCTTTAAAAAACAACAACGCTATGCTGATGTTTATTAACTTCATGTAGACTGTACAGTATTATACTCTTGTTCTCCAAGCAGTGTTACTCTATGTGATAGTTTATCGCAATGGAACAGTTTTCATAATTATAAATACATGTGCTTTTCAAGACGCATAAATGAAAGTTCCTCATTTCTTCATGATATATGTAGACTTTTATGATGTTTTCAGAAAAGGAGTGATACTTTCTTGTCAAGTTTTGAATCGGGTATATATATTTCATGAACCCTGTAAACCTTTAGTTTTCAAGCCACATTTCCAGCTGTGATTGTGTGGTTACAACTGTATGCATACATTTGCAACTATTGATTGAATTCATGGATTGTGCCCTGAAAAGGTTGGATCAAGTATAAAAAAAAGAAGAATAATTTACAAAAAATGACTGGATTGACCAGATATGTTGAGTTTCACAACTGTCATTTGTGTAGTGGTGGTTATTTTACCTGACTGCTAAGAAAGCATAAATGCTTGTTTGTAAGCAACCAGAGGACCGACAGCTTTAGGTCCTCTCCGAAAGACCTGGTCATGAGTAAATGCCTTGCCAAAGAACACTAGCGCATCGCCTTGGTTTTGAACATGGGTCACCGGATTACAAGGCCACTGCTCTACCAACTGAGCTATCGCGCCTCCTTTGTTTTTATTGTATAAATGACTTCTGTTAAACCAATTACTAGTACTCAAACTGTGTTTATGATAGATATTTCAGTACATACTATTCAAGAACCAGCATTTGCTTATTCTACATTTTGTTTCCTCTTTTCTTTCGATTCACTTTGTATGAATCAGATGTTCAGATGTAAGTTCTGCTCATTTTGAGTAATTTGACAAACATTTTGCAGATTTCCTTACCTTTGTTTCTTAAACATAAAGGTGAGTTCTTGTCATCTGATTACATTGTGAAAGAAAAGGTGTGGAATGGATCAGAAAAAACTGATCATGTAGCATGTAAGTATTAGTGTGTCCTGCAAAGTTCTGGAGTCATCAAAATCACATAATAAATTTGACCCAGTCTTGGTAAAGTAACAAGCACTGTACATAGAAAGATGTATATGGGACTATATAAATGGTGTCAGGGCTACTAACCTTGATTTCCTAATCTGTCTATGCTCATTTCTCAGCCAGTATACATTTTCTACCAAAATGATCTTCTAATTTCCTTCTGTTATATACTCGCCACTTCTCTGCAGAGTAGAATATTGGTATATAAGCATCATGATACAACGGCACACACTGAATGAATATTAAAAACTATTTTTTCCAGTATTTAAACAAAAATAGAATGGTTTATAAGGCATTGAAATAAAATGATGAAAATGTTTTGTGTACATACTTTATTTCTTAATAAATGAATGTTCCTAAGAACAAAGAAAAGTTGTAATGACGAATTGTACAGAAACAGCAAGCTATACTCAGTTGCATTATTTTCTTGTATTAATTCTAATGAATAAACGAAACTGAATTTTAAATCGTGAGCATGATTGTTTTATTATTGTTGCAGAGATATACAGTTTACAACTGAATAAATTGGGCCTTTGTTGAATCCTTTAAAGGCCCACTGCACTACTTGTAGCTACTTGCGCCCTCTATATAACAAACAATGCCTAATCGGTGACCATTGGTCCCCCATGATTCTCTTTTTCTTATGTTAACTGAGAACCGAGTTGATGAGATGACCACCTGTCCAGTGATCTTGCAGGGCGCTCTAATCCCTCCTGTAAACTATGGCAGATAAGCTTTAAGATGTAAGCTTTAATAATGTAATACTTTAAATTTTCACATACTTGAAAAATCAGTGAGGGTATGAAAAATTTAGTTGTAATCTGTATATTGTGTTGCTTACTTAAGGCGCGGATCCAGGATTTCTTGGGGGGAGGGGGCCAAATTTGAAATTATGCGAGCCAAATATTTACGTTTCATTAAATCATTAGAGAAAGAAGACGATTTGTTGTACCGTTCTTGACTCTTTATCCTCGTTTGAATTCAGTTAAATCAGTTTCCCCCTCCCGCGCAAAGCGCGGAAGCTTTTACGTTTCATTAAATCATTAGAGAAAGAAGACAATTCATTGTACCATTCTCGACTCTTAATTCTTGTCTGAATTCAGTTTACCCCTTCAGCGCAAAGCCCGAAAGCTTTGACGTTTCATTAACATTATTTAAGAAAGAAGATGATTGGCTGTACCGTTGTCGTCTCTTAATCCTTGTCTCAATTCAATCTCCCCCCCCCCCCCCTCCTGCGCGAAGCGCAGAAGCATTGACATTTCATTAAATTAGAGAAAGAAGACGATTCGTTGTACCGTTTTTGACTCTTAATCCATGTCTGAATTTCAAAATTGTTTTTTGTCTGCTCCTTTTTCTTCCTACGTCCTCTTCCTGTTTTTCACCTCTCTTTTTTTTTTTGTGTGGGGGGGGCCCACCCCCACCGCCTCCCTGGTTACGCGCCTGCGGTCAGATGAACATATTTTGACACCTTGTCCGCCCCCAGAAACTCGGGGGGTTTAAGGCAATAAATTACGGTCAGATGAGCATTCAGGGGGCCCGTCTTAGGGCCCTTTGGTGGGGTCGAGGGTGCGCAACCACGGAATCTCAGGGGTTTTAGGCATTTGATTACGGTCAGATGAACATATTTTTATACTTTACTTGTGACACTGGCAGGACACTGATTGGCGTGAGGTCCAGCGGGCGGAGCCCCCAGAGGCTCGAGGGTTTTAGGCACTAAATGACAGTCAGATGAGTATCAAGGGGCCCGTCTTAGGGCCCTTGGTTGGGCCCCGTCACTGTTACTGGCAGTTAACTATTCTTTCTTTCTTGCTCTCTTTCTATTTCTCTTCAATATTCTTTTCCAAAAAAGTGGGGGGGGGGGGGGGGAGAGGGCTGGAGGCTCCCGATCCCGAAAAAAATCTCGGAAAATTATGTCATTTCAGCATTATTTGTAAACCACCGTTATGGAATGAGAAATAAACCACGTTTAAACGTTTAAATCGCGCGCACTTCAACCAGGGGCGTCGCCAAAGGGGGGGGGGGGGGTGTGGGGGGTGCGACACCCCCCCCCCCCCCCACCTGTCAGGATATTGTCGGTAAAATTGCGCTGCCGTCGGGAAAAAGAGAAAAGGGGGAGGGAAAAAAAGAGAGGGGAAGGGAAAGAAAAGAAAAAAGAAAAGGAAAAGAAAAGAAAGAAAGGAAAGAAAGGAAAAGGAAAGAAAAGAGAAGAAAGAAAGAGAAAAAAGAAAAAGAGGGGGGAGAGGAAAGAAAGGAAAAGAAAGAAAGAAAGAAAAGGAAAAAAAAGAGAAAAAGAGTGAAAGGGAAACAAAAGAAACGGGGGGTGAAAGAGAGGAGAGAGAGGGGAGGTAAGAGTCTGAGAGAGGAGGAGTGGGAGTAAAAGAGAAAAGGGGGTTGTTGGGTGGAGTCGTCTCGTCGAGGGAGCAAGAAAGACACGGATAAATATGTTGCTGTGTCGGGTCAGCTGTGTCGGTATTCTTGCTCGATCCTCATCAATGCATAAGTTTGAAGTCGGTGAGATGTATATTGTCGGTCGGCCGACAAGTTTTTTTTCCCCTACGAACTGCGACTTCTTATCCGCTGTGACGACTTCGAGAGTGACTACAACTACAATACTTGTATTTTCTCGAAGTTTCACTTTCCTATAATATCAGCTAAAGAAATCAGAGGTTTAAAATTTTCGGGGAAACTAAATTCAAACAAGGTTTAAGAGTCAACAACGGTACGACAAATCATTTTCCTTTCTTTATATTGTGATGAAACGCCAAATATTCCGCGCTTTGCGCGGAAAGGGAAACTTCATTTAGACGAATCGAGAACGGTACAACGAATCGTCTTCTTTCTCTAATAATTAAAGGAAACGTCAAAGCTTCCGCGCTTCGCACGAAAGTGGAAACTGAATTCAGACAAATAGGGCTTACTAAAAGTCGAAAACGTTACAACGAATCGTCTTCTTTCTCTAATAATTTAAGGAAACGTCAAAGCTTCCGCGCTTCGCGCGAGAGGGGGAAACTGAATTCAGATGAATAGGGCTCAATAAGATTCGAAAACGGTACGAGGAATCGTCTTCCTTTCTCTTATATTTTAAGGAAACGTCAAAGCTTCCGCGCTTCGCGCGAGAGGGGGAAACTGAATTCAGACAAAATTTATAGGGTTTATTAAAAGTCAAAAACTGTACAACGAATCGTGTTCTTTCTCTTATATTTTAAGGAAACGTCAAAGCTTCCGCGCTTCGCGCGAGAGGGGAAACTGAATTCAGACAAAATTAATAGGGCTTATCTAAAGTCGAAAAAGGTACAACGAATCGTGTTCTTTCTCTAATGATATGAGGAAACGTCAAAGCTTTCGCGCTTCGCGCGGGAGGGGGAAACTGAATTCAGATGAATAGGGCTTATTAAGAGTCGAAAACGGTACGATGAATCGTCTTCTTTCTCTAATAATTTAATGAAACGTCAAAACTTCCGCGCTTCGCGCAGGAGGGGGAAGCTTCATTCAGATTAGGATTAAGAGTCGAGAACAGTACACCGAACCGTCTGCTTTTTCTCATAATTTAATGAAACGTCAAAGCTTCCGCGCTTTGCGCGGGGGGAATACTGAATTCAGAAAAGGATAAACAGTCGAGAATGGTACAGCAAATCGTCTTCTTTTTTTTTATAATAATTTAATGAACGTCAAAGCTTTCGCGCTTCGCGCGGGAGGGGGGAAACTTCATTCAGCCTAGGATTACCAGTCGAAAACGGTACAATTAATCGTCTTCTTTTCCTAATAATTAAAGGAAACGTCTAAGCTTCCGCGCTTCGCGCGGGAGGCTCATTACCCACACCCCCTTATGAGCGCGCTTTTAAGTGATTCTCTTGCTCACTACCGCCCCTCCCTAAAATAAGATCCTAGCTCCGCGCCTGCATTAAAATATATAGCTATGATGCTGACTAAACTTAAGAAATAATTCGTATATTAATGTCGTCGAGGAAAATGACCATTTTGCGCATATTATGCAAGTACTATAGATAGTCCATAGGAAAAACAATTTAGCCTTCGCCCCAGGTTTATAGGGTTGACTTTGTAGATATTGGAAATTTGATTTTGTCGGTAATTGGTGGCTACTTTTGTCGGTAATCGTTGGCCTCTTCACCCCCCCCCCCCCCCCCCACTGAAAATGGTCTAGCGACGCCCCTGACTTCAACACAGCCGCGGGGCCTGTATCACGAGTATACTATACGAGTTTCACATTTAACTCGCTATATATACTCGTGATATAGGCCCCGCGCAACGGCGTTGCATGTTCTACAACACAGACATGGGGCATCACGACTATACTATAAACTCGTGAACAAGGCCCCATCCTATGCATTTTCAAGACGGACAGCACGGTAGTGGGGCTTCTTTCACCGCAGTATAATTTAGGGGGTGTTTTGAGGTTTAATGAATAAAGCTAGCAAATTATTAAAATTGGATACATTTAAATGATTCAATTTATCTTTTAGACCCTAGACTATTTTAATATTTTTACTTTTTTATTGTTTTTACCTTTTTTAATATTTTTCCTTTTTTAATATTTTCCCCCTCTCTTTAAATTTATCTTTTAGTTTAAGTTCAATATTTTTTATTTTTTTGGGGGGGGGGGCCCCCACCCCCCTCTCTTTATATTTATCTTTTAGTTAAATACATTCCCTTTTTTTGGGGGGGGGCCACCCCCCTCTCTTTATATTTATCTTTTAGTTAAATATTTTCCTTTTTTGGCCCCCCCCCCCCCGTGGCATCGTGCTCCCCCCCCCCCCCCTCCTCCTAATTTTCCTTTGGACAATACATTCGTATCATTGCTTAAACTCTCCTAAATATAATATAGGTCGAGAAACATATGTGTGGTCTAGAGTCAATAGCTAGTATAGAGTCTAGTCTAGGCCCAGTGTCGGATCCAGGGGGGGGGGCCGGGGGGCCCGCCCCCCCCCCCCCTTGAGAAAAAAATCATGCAAAATCACGCGATTTTTACCTTTTTTGGAGGTTGGGCCCCCCCCCCCCCTGGCGCTCAAGGGGGGGGGGTGCAAATTTTAAAATTTTAGACGACCAAAAAAAAATTGTGCTCACTACCCCCCCCCCCCCCCCCCCCCCCCCCCAATGAGCGACTTTTCGGCTGGCTGAGCTGTTGCGATTTTTTTTTGGGACTCCAAAAAAAAAAAAAATGTCCGCTTACCCCCCCCCCCCCCCCCCCCCCCCCCCCCCCCCCCCCCCCCACCACCACCACTGAGCGACTTTTCGGCCGGCGCGATTTTCAAATTTTCGGGAGCAAAAAAAAAAAAAAAAGTTGGGCCCCCTCCCCTAAGAAATCCTGGATCCGCGCCTGTCTAGGCCTAGATCTACTCTAGATCTAGGCCTAAGGGTTAGTAGTAAAGTAGTAAAGTGTCTACAGAGTGACTCAGTGAGTCAGAAAAAATGTCCCACTTTTTAAAAGTTGTATTGTTTGAAGTAGTTTAGATCTATGAATATTTAATCATGGGTTTCATGATATGTCTTGATATTCTCCCAGTACATTTAGACCCTTAGGTACCATTTTCATTTGAATCTCTGCATGCATGACTGAACATCAGAGTATCGGACAATCTTTACAAAAATGCCAGATCTCACTTGCGCCAGCCAATTCCAAGTTACTAGTAATAGAGTCTACTGGGTGAGGAAAAAACAGTGCATTGAACAAAGACAGTCACACACAAACACACAACACACACGGTAACAATTGTTTCATAATTTCCCCTTTTCTGATGATCGAAGCATTGATTTTTATCAAGATCGCTAAATGTTTAAGTGGCATTTCGCTGACAATCTTTCCCTTTAGTACACGTTCACTACCACCATCATATTATTAGGGTGTCTGATCTCGCACCAGGTTTTGTGTGCTAAAATCCTTCCCATAGACATTGCATACAACCCTATTGAGTCTATGTGCATTGCAAAATTGGTCAAGTTTTTAAAAATAAATTTAGATTCAAACCTTTATCTGTTGTGATCCTGAAGGTGATACTCAATAAATCGGGTGTCATATGAAAGGGCAGATTAATTCCCATATTTCCAAAGGGGCTGCATCTCGGAATTCTAAAAATATCTTGGTAAAAACAGCGATTTAAATGCGTTTCCATGGCAACTCGGGAGATTTCTAACTTTTGAGATATGCAGCCCGATTGATAAGTAGTCCCAGTCCTAAGGAATATATCTATGTGCTTATTTTTTCGCTAGCCCCCAGGGATCATGTACGATTTAAGTTTGAAAATACCCTTCCCCCACTTTTTGCATATATAGCCTAATGCATTAGAATGCAGCTGTTGAGCAAAAAATGATAACTCGGCGTGAACCCCTTTTTTGTCCATTCTGACCCAAATGCTATGAATATTGCAGAGTTTTTGACGGGCTGTATCTTTTGATAGAAACATCGGTGAGTCTTGAGATTTGAAATGTATTATTCTGATTACATTTTTTATTCAAATATCCAATAAAAATGGTGAAAAACGATCCCCAAAATCGTTCAGACACCCTAATATTATCATCATCACCATTGTCATCATCTCAATCTTCATCATCATCATGAAGTGCACATGAATCCAATGTGCATGTGTGTGTGTGCATGTGCGTGTGTGCGTGCGCGTGCGTGTGTGTGTGTGTGTTTGTGTGTGTGTCTGTGTGGGTGTTTTTGTCTGTCTGGCTGTCTTTGTTCAAACACTATTTTATTCCTCACCCAGCAATTTGGCGAGAGATTCAAATGAAAATGGTACCTAAATGTACTAGGAGGATAACTCTATCAAAACATATCATGAAACCCATGATTAAATATTCATAAATATTCATACTTCAAACAATACAACTTTTAAAAAGTGGGACATTTTTTCTGACTCACTCTGTATAACTGTTACTGTTACTACTCTCATGTAGACCCTGGCCTAGTGTTGTGGGGCTAGTCTGAATCTGACTTGTCTGGAGGAAGTTGAGAGTATAGATCGAAAAATCAGACGTTTATTCGAGCATTGCTCTATTAATATGTTTCCCTGATGCTCTTATCTTGTGAATGGAGGAGAACAACAAACGTCAAAGAATCGTTAAAAAACTTCTTCGGAGAGGTGGATTTTTTCTATCTAGTTGAGAGTAATTGATCGTGAGTTGAACTTTTAAAGTTGAGTCTTCATCATGGTAATGATTAATACATTGATAAATATATGATCATGATTACAAAATACAATCGTACTAAAGAGTTAGGTTTCTTTGTGTATCCTACTTTGTTGAGACTAGTTTTTAGAAATATTTGACTTGGTTTTAAATCTTTCCAGTTTCTCTTTATATCAATAGGGACGTATTCATCCTAGTAGATTCCTAGCCAATCATGGAGGATGCTATTGCTATGGAGGACAACTTCCTGTGAGCATTGTCAACCCAACCCTGGGCCTGATAAAGAACTTTTGGCGGTAGGTATTCCGAAATGCTGTTGACAACATTTTCTGTGATTTTGAACTTAAACAAGTCGAAGACTAGATCTACCAAGCAATGGAACATACATAATTAGCCTTAAAGTGATAGTTGAGTTCTGGTCAAGGATTGCATTGTGAAAGAAACAGTGTGGAATCAATCAGAGAAAGCTGATCATGTAGCATATAAGTATTGGTATGTACTGCAAGGTTCTGGATTCATCAAAATGATAAGAAATTTGGCCCAGTCTTGGTAAAGTAACAAGCACTGTACACAGAAAGATGTATGGGACTACACCAACATGTGCTAATAATATAATTATTTCATTAATAATTCAGTGGTTAAATTTTTAAAGATACAAATAGGGCGAGAGAGAAAAAGAGAGCGCGAGCAAGCGAAAGAGAGTATACAGAGCAAACAGAAGGCGTGCAAGAGTGTAATGGAGATATGGAGAGAGATGAGAGAGACAAAGGAGATACATAAAGAGGAGGTAAATTAATGATATAGAAATAAACTTAAATAAAAATAAATAAGCTCGCATAAAATCACAATATGGCAACATGAAAAACAAGATATATATCTTTCTTTTAACAGTTCGCTAGGCCTACTATACTTTTTAATCATCTTAGTCTGAGTGAACCAATCATCATATTTCACAGTGTGAAACTTAATGTCATATTGTATTTCCAATTATCATAAATAGGCCCCAAGTTCTTCAAGATTATACTTACTGGTACATATTTCTTTTAAATTCAACTTTAATTTAATTTGTGCACAATTCTCATCACAGACAAGAGTATAGAGAGGAGCGAAGTGCGCATGCGTTGATGAATGGCCTAATGACGTACATATGAATATTTATGAGGTCGCGGATAATGACAATGTGCGCATGCGCCAGGTATAACAGTTCGTATGTGCGCATGCGCAAGATATTATAGATCCTCGCATTTTAAAATCTAATAATAATAATAGCTCGTTCTTATATAGCGCTTTTCAGGACCGGAGGCCCTTATTACCCCGGTCATTGGATTCAGGCTTACCCGCACACAATGTATGCACATTCTCCACTCCCTGGGGAGCATTCCAGCCAGGCGTCATTTTTACATGCGCACACTTGCTAATCTAACCACATTAGCTTTCGCATCCTACCGGGTACCCATTTAACACCTGGGTGGAGAGTGGCAAATGTAGATCAATGTCTTGCCAAAGGACATTAGTGCTAAATGAATATTTATGAGGTTTCGGATAATGACCATGTGCGCATGCGCCAGGTTTAAAAGTTTGTAGGAAAAAAAATCGCGCCCGCCCCCCCCCCTCCCCCCCCCCCCCCCGATCTACAATTTGTTGGCGGAAAAGTCGCAACTGATCTCCCCTACCTTTCTTCTTTCTTTTTTTCTTTCCATTTCTCTCCTCTTTCCCTTTCCCTTTCCATCCTTCTCTCTCTTTTAGGTTGCTGAGTGAGTGAGGGGGGGGGGGGAGGAGGGGAGGGAGGCAAGGTCTTTTCGGCCCCCACCCTTCTCCACGCGTTGTTGGCGGGATTAACCGCAAATGATCTATTTCCCCTTCTTTTCACCCTTTCTTTCTTCTTCCTCTTTTCTGTTCCCTTTTGGCTCTCCTTTTTTTCTTTTTCCTTCCTTCTCTCTTTTTTTTTTGGGGGGGGGGGGGGGGGGGGGGGGGGCGGGGGGAGGCAAGGACCATTTGCACAACCCCCACCCCGATCTACAACTTGTTGGCGGGAAAATTGCAACTGATACCCCCTTCTTTTCTTTTATTCTTCCTCAATTTTCCTTCCCTTTATCTCCTCTTTTCCCTTTTTCTTTGGGGGGGGGGGGGGGAGGCAACACCCTGGGAGGCGAGGCCCTTTCGCCCCCCCCCCCCCCCGATCTCTTTCTTTCCCCTTTTCTTTTCTTCTCCCTCTTCTTTCTTTCCCTTTCTCTCCTCTTTCCCTTTTCTCTTTTTTTTTCTTCCTTTTTTTTCCTTCTTTTTTTCCCCCTTTCCCCCTTCATTTTTTCCCCTTCCCCCTTTTTTTTCCCTTCTTTTTTTCCTAGGGGGGGGGGGGGGCCGGGCCCCCCCCCCTGGATCCGCCACAAGCTTACTTGCTTGATTTGATGTTGACGTATGATTGTGCCTTATCATTTTTGTGGAGAACTGAGAATGTTGCTTGATTTAATATCAAGTAAACGTTCGGAAAGTATAGTGTTTGAAGCCCATCGAAACTGTAACATGCCGACTGTGATTAAATTTTGGAATGGTAAACAAATATACCATGCACTGAGAGGCCCTAGTTGAAATTATGGAAAGGGGAAAGGTCTCTTGTCAATTATTTAAATCTTTTAAAGGAAATGTATATACCAGTACCCTACCCTTGTTGTGCATCTCAGAGCCCCTCCACTCTGCCCATAAACTCCGAGCGACGCAAATTGAATTTGACAAGTACTGCTTTCTGCAAAAAAAAAACACTAATATACATCATCAGTGACAATACAAGAGTCCAGTGCATTGTCTTTTTTAAGAGTTGCGATTAATCCAGTTAATTCGAAAATCCTCCGATCAATCTCAGACCTACATAATTCCCATCTCTCTGGTACACAGTGGCATCTCTATGAGTGCAGGAGGCACTTGCATTTGAAGATTTAACAAAAGTGAGAGGGCACAAAACATGTAAAAGAGAGAAAAGGAAAGGTCAGACGCATAAATCAAAGCTCATCAAAGCTCCTTATTTCTTCATGATAATATTTATGTAGACTTTTACGAAGTTTTCAAATAAACAGATAAACATGGAACAGCTTTCATAATGATATATCATAGATACATGTACTTTTCAAGCCGCATAAAAACTCCTCAAAGCTCCTCATCTCTTCATGATTTATGTAGACTTTTTAGGATGGATACTTTCTTGTCAAGTTTTGAATGGGGTATATATTTTATAAATTCTGTAGACATCTAGATTTCAAGCTATATTTTAACCTGTGATTGTGTTGTTACAACTGTATGCATACATTTACAAATATTATGAAAGTCTAAACTGACTCAGTGAATTCATCATTTTCAAATGTTATTGAAAAAAAAGGGTTATGGAAAATTTAAGGGACCATATGGTATTCAATGTCACAAAATGAATTTTCAGCTTGGATTCCGAAGGTCATATGAAAGTCTATTCTGACTCAGTGAATCCATCATTTTCAAATGTAATTGAAAAAAAAGGGTTATGGAAAATTTAAGGGACCATATGGTATTCAATGTCACCAAATGAATTTTCAGATTGGATTCCGAAGGTCATATGAAAGTCTATTCTGACTCGGTGAATCCATCATTTTCAAATGTAATTGAAAAAAAAGGGTTATGGAAAATTTAAGGAACCATATGGTATTCAATGTCACAAAATGAATTGAATTGAATTTGAATTTATTAACAACAACACATCACAATAATGACAGTACATATGAACAATCATATAATGCAAAGAATAATACTGATACATGTATACATAACACAAGAGTAATGTCGATTGAACAGTAATGGTTTTAAAACGATATTTTTTAGACATACATCTGCATACTATTAAATGTACAAAAGATATATACGTAAATATGTATATTACTATGTTTAGGTGAAGTTGTTAATGGGAACTAGAAGTTAGCACAAGTGCTAGTCGAGCCTAGTTCCATTCTTTGGCAAGATTTTTTTTTCTGTTAATTTGTTTTTACATATGAATGTAAAACTTGTTTGTTTTGTATTTACATATATACAACAAAATAATACAATATCATGTAACTTTTTTTCTTTACTAAAATGAAAAAATAAAAATAAAAAAGCTTAAGCGTTAAAGCATTATAATGAAAGAAGACAAATCTTTGAAGAAATAAAATCATCAATGTGTTCATAAAAATGAAAAGGATGTATTAATAAAAAATAATCATACACATGTTCGTACATGCACAAATCGTGTAAAGGCTTAAGGCCGCTATAATCGTTAACAAGGAAGTGTATACTTATATAAAAGGAAGACAAGTAATATAAAAGGAAGAAACGAAGGGGGGTGGGATTGAGCCCACGTCATTTACATAGAAGGTAGGTGGAAAGATGTCTCCGAAAAGATAACCTTGATGTTTTTAATCTAATTTCATCTGGCACATCATTCCACAGCTTTGTTCCTACAAACGAAATACAAAATTGCCCTTGCGTTGTCTTACATTTTGGTTGATAAAGTAAGCCACTTTCTTTTCTCCTAGTTGCATATCTGTGCTGTATCATCTGACAATAATCCACTAAAGAGTGTGGTAAAAAACCTTTTACCAAATCATACATAAATGTTGATACAAGAAGTTCATGAAGTTGAAAAATATTTAAAATGTTTAGACTTTGAAAAAGAGCTTTGGAGTCTGTTCTAAGTGGACTGAATGTTATTGCTCTCATTGCCATTTTTTGACTTAAAAATATACAATTTAGATTACATTTGTAAGTGCTCCCCCATACTTCTACTCCATAAGAGAGGTGAGGCTGTATAAAAGCCTTATATAACAACACAAGTATATTCTTGGGAACAAAATGTCTCAGTTTAAACAGAATACCTACTTTCTTTCTTATGCATTTGTTTATTGTCTGAATATGTTCTTTCCATGAAAGGTGACAATCAATTTCAATTCCTACAAATGATGCAACAGATACCTCTTTAATATCTGATCTTGATATTCTCACAGATCCCTTTTTGTCTATTGACCTACCTTTGGATTTCATAATCATATAGCTTGTTTTCTGTAGGTTGATTGTGACTTCATTTGCATTACACCATTCCTGCACCTTCATTAAATTTTCACTTACAGTTTCTAAATCAATTTCTTTTTCTCTAGGATTAAAAGTATGAAAAAGATTTGAATCATCAGCAAATAATCTGAAATTGAAAAAGTTTGTGGAGTTAGGTAAGTCATTTATATATAGTAAAAATAATGTTGGTCCAAGAACGGAGCCTTGAGGGACACCACATGTTATATTCAATTTC